GTGTTTTCTTTCAACATGCTCTCTGCAGAATGTTTCATTTGTACACTATTCAGCATTTGAGGAAAACAATTAATTTCCGCAGTGCACAAAGAGAAAAAACCAACACTGACAAGCCATAAGGAATGGAGACATCATAAAAGAATGATGTATACCTTCATATTCATCGCCACCAACCCCATTTCAAACAGCTTCTCTGTTCCAACTCTTCTGGCAATATCACTGAGGACAGTCTGGCAAGCCTCTGCTGGTGATAACCCCTACAAAGAGGCACGTTTACTAAATAAACAGCATTATGTTAGTTAATACACGACAGTGTTAAATCTGTACTTTGCAGACAGATTCAAGCAGGAGAGAGAGTGAACTGTTTAATCAGATTTGCTGATCTAGCCTTTTTCCATGTTACATTCCAGAGCAAAACTACAAGAGCTGGCTTATCAGCGTCAGCCTGTACTGTAAAATAATACCCAAAAAACACCTCAGGAAGGCTAAGCAAGTAGAGATCTAATACAATTCTAAATTGCAGACATTATTTATGTATCCAGGATTAAGAATTGGTTCTATATGTACCTTAGTTTTGTTAGTGACATTGTATGTAAGTGTGTAGAAATAAATTACACCAGTGGCTTGATGATACACTACTGTAAATTAGAAATGTACTGTAATGTAATTGCTTTTATTTTGTCATATAGCAAAAACAGATTCTTAGTGTTTTCAGAGGGCAAGATTAGACCATGAAAGCTGTAAGTGAGAAGCAAACAGCTGGTATTTAATCTGCACAGAGAACAATTAAATCAATAATTGAAGATTGAGGACAATGACTCCTAGGATATTCTCTATTATTGCTGACCAGTACACATACTGTACTTATTTCCTTTTTCAGAAGAAATTGCAGAAACAACATACAGCTGGACACAATTTCTCTGCAAAAACACATTACCATCTGCAAAAGTGTAAAGAATGTTTCTGTCTGCTGCACACATTTCCTTGTTAATAAGTAGACAAACAACAAATGTTCGTGCTTGAAATTTAGCATTACAGCTAAATTGGAGTTCCTCTGCAATAATTTTTCCCTTTTTCACTGACAGTATGAATATATTACAAATCAGCCTTTACTACTGGGCTTTGCCACTTTTAGCTTATAAAGGTGACAAATCCTATTACACAACAACATTTTTAAAAATTACACTTAAGCCCCTGACGTTCAGAGCCTGAGGGAAGACAGGAACAAGGAGAAACAGGGAAGGGCACAAGTGAGTTTCAAGCAAACTGCATCATCTTCAAGGCAAAGAAAACTACAGAAAGCTATAAAACAAATCTACTCTGCAGCATGATTTTAGAAATAATAATGGCATATTCCTATAGGTTTTGATCAGCTTAACAAATCCGGTTAATTATACATTTACAAACCTGCTAATTATTCACTATCAAGGCAGGAGACTGCAGATCGGTTGTTAACACTCTGGAGGAGAGAGAGGCCATATTTCGTGTATGATCACAAAATATGTCACGGGGCTTCAGGAACCTGGCTTTAGTAGTAGACTCCACAGATACTACTCTCTCACTCATTTACAGGGGTCATCAGACCTTGCCAAGGAAAATGTAATTTCACATTAGGGGCAGTTTTGCATATATTAGCTTCTCAGCACTCACTCGGCACCATATGCAGCTGTGTCATTTGGAGTCAGCTGGGTGCAGCTGTACCGACTAGACTCACAAGCATCAGCTAGTGAAACGCTGCCTCTTCAGAATTTCCAGTCAGTAGAAGGGACACATGTGCAGCCTGGCTAACAAAAGGCATTCTGCTCTCCTTAACAAATATCTGTAACGTTAAAGCAACTTATTCAATGTTACTCAATGTCAACTCATTCAATGTAGCTGTAGAAATTATTCACTTAGGAATGTTACCTGTTTCATCAGTTGAACCGCATGAAAACTGGGGCAGTGGCACATAATTTTATCTCCATCGCCTGTTGCTATTTAAAAAACAGAAGAAGGTAAGATTAAGTAGGGCAGGAGTAACACTGCTTAATATGAATATGAATCAAAATAACAAGTTGATACTATTGTAATCGGTTTTGTATATAAAATATTACAGGACTTAGTACACTCAAACATACAGAGTATTTTATATAGCTATTTCTTTTTCTTTTATGAAAGAATGTGTAAATCATAAGTTTTACACAGTAAGTATATACAGTACGTGCTGTGATTCCAATAAGTACTTGTTTACCAGGTTTAATAGTTATGTAAAAAACTGTGCACACGTGTAGAGAAAAACATTTCAGTTTCTCCCTTACATTTTGATATCAGGTTAAGAGTAAGACTTTTCAACTTGCGATCCCCCTGATCTGTGCCTTTTTACACAATCTAGCCATAACCAGCTGCGTGATTATTTAATCAATAATTAGAAGGATCAATACACTAATTAAGGATCTGGTTACAGAAAAGTACTGCAATGGATTTGATTGGAAGGGCCACAGTTTGTGTAGCCCTGATGAAGAGTTCCATCCTTAACACTGAGGTGAAATGTAACCACTTTGAACAACACTGTGACTTGGCACTCCACAGCCTTTGTGTAGTCTTTCGGAGCACAAATAGCAAATAGTGCTTAGCTTGAGTTACCATGACTAAACCACAGTGACAACAGCATATACTATTTGCTGTGGTGTCTCCAGATCTGGACCCGAATACATCTAAAAAAGCTGTTAAAATAGTGTTGATTCGATTTACCTCAACTGCTCAAGGCGAGACCTACTGTACCAATAACAGCTCTGCTAATAACTACGCATTTTGCTCACTCTAATCTTCATGCTCACCTACAAGGCTCTACATAGCTTGGCACCTCAGTACCCGTCTGAGTAGCTATCATCCTACTCCCCACCTCGAGAACTTTGTTAGTCTAATTCTGGTCTCCAGTGTGTCCCCCAACCCACTCTATGGGTGACAGGGCTTTCTCCTGCTGTGCCCCAAAACTCTTCTGCTGCCAAGGATATCAGGGAGTCACCTTCCCTGAGTACTTTCAAATCAAGACTCAAAACCTTTTTCTTTAGAAGGGCTTTTCTGTGCCAGACCCTTTGCTTTCCTTCTGTACTTAAAACCCTCAAATGTAACTGTGTAACCCCCTCTGTAAATCACTTTTGATTTACAGCATATACTGTATATAAATGTGCTATAAAGAATAAAGTTTATTATTAATATAAAGCCAGCAGTTCACAGTCTTCGCCACCTTTGGCAGTTTTGAAGGGGCAGAGAAGATCATGATCAGGTGAGTCAGATGGAGTTAAAAGCAGAGACTTCAATTAGCAGGGTTCACCTTGAAGAACAGCAGTAAACACAATCCTGAAACTAAGAATCTTACACCATGTGACCCCCAGGCCTAGTTGTCTCATCAAGTCACGTCCCTCAGAGGTAATTATTGAAATTGAAAACAAAAACAAACAATATTGTCACAAACCTGTGGCAGCCCCAACCTAAAAGCAAAGAAAAGCATAAATTAATTCACTTTAAGATGCATTCTGACCAATCTAAACTGTATACAATAAGAGTGAAGTCTGAGTGGTCTATAGTGCCAAAAGAGTTTTACACTGTAAGTTAAAAACAAGCTGAGGACTTTGTACTTGAAACCTACACTTCCTTAGGAAGGTAGAGTTTTTTCATTCGACAAAGACAATGAGTCAGCAGTACCTTACTTTAATTTGGTGACTGACTCACATTACAGTCATTCATGTATAAATTTCAAGTCAGATTTATATGCAATATGGAACGATGGTCGCTACATCAAACACTGAGTACAGGTTTATGCTCAGCAGTATTATGAAAAACATTACAAAATTGTAAGCAAGAATGTTACAATTAGAAATAAGTGCTACTCAATTTGAAAAATCAAATGACCGTTTCTAGATGAGTCAAAGCAAAAATGAAATTGTGTTCAGAAGAGAAGATTTAAGGAGTGCAAGTTTCTACGTGCTTCTATACAGCAATAACATGAACACCTAAAAGGTGGGTCAATATAAACTGTAGTTTACTGTAAACTAATGGTCATCTGGTATGACCATACTGTTTTGTGTAGATTTTTAGTACTGCAGGTTTAAGAATTTGATTTTAAGCATTTAAGATTAGCTTCCTATACTGTCTTGCCAGATATTTTCAATGCACTTCACAATTCCCTACAGCAAACTGTCCTAGAAAAATACCATTTTTTTTAAACGTTCCTGTTAAACCATAAGTGCACCCAACTTTAATGGGTCAATTCTTTGATGGCAGAAATTCAAAATAACAATACTGAGAAGAACATTTATTCAAAAATGTTCTAGAAAATATCTGGAAGATACAGTAAATGACACTGAACTAGGGGGATGATAAAGCTGGACACACAGATGTGATTAGAGACACATGGCTGGCAAAGGGCATACCATGACATCAGCATACAGGCCACAGCCAGGAAGTGGAGAGTCACCAACCCTCCCAGGGGACTTAAAAGGAGCTCCTGAAGTGGACACACCTGACACAAAACACTGAGGTTACTAGGAGAAGAAGTCATTGAGCTGAATGTCTCAACAGTACAAGCTGTCCACTGGCTGCGAGAGAAGACTAAATTAGCCAGATGGCGGATTGTGTTTGGAAAAGACAAACGGTCATCCGGTTCATTCTACTGGCTTATTATCATGATGCTGATCATAATGATCTATATGGCTGTATTATTACTTACACAATACAAAATAATAGTGCTAGCAGAAATTCTATTCCTATAGTGTTTGAATTATTTTTAAGCCTTTTCTGACTCAGCTTTTCCCTGTAATTTCATGGGCATTTTCCATGTGTTTGCTCCACGGCACGATTTGCTCTTTGTTTGCAGAAAGTAATTCTAATAATAGAATTCGCCAGTAAAATACAGAAACAATAAAAAGAAGGCGGTTTTCACCTGAAATAGACTCTGCATAGTGAAAAAAGTGGAACACAATGCGTTGAAAGTTGTCTCGCTAATTTCTACATTGCTATTAAAACAACACTTCACGAACGAAAATCGTTGTTTCACAAAATGTCTAAATTTCCACCTTCCTGAGTGCAATACTCCAAATAGAGATGAGGGGAGCAGAAGTTTCTCAAGATCGTATGAATAAGGAAACCACAGAGAGTACAGAGAGTGACATTCTTTTAACAGGTGAGTGACGTTCTGTGCAGATACAACAGGATCAGTTGACACCATTCAGAAATCTTCCAAAAAGTCAGAAAACACTCCACAGTCCGATAGGTAAAAGAAGACAGACCGGAGAGCTCAAGGTTAAGTTTTAGCAAACCTGCCTACGGTTATGTTTCCCTGAAGATCCAAAGCGATCAGACCTTTGTGGGGGACAGAAACAAGAACGAAATATACACACATATTTCACGATAATAATAAAAACACGTGAAGTTGCAAGCTTCACAATACCCCCCCACAAATTTAACAAAGGAAATATTATTCGTATTCCTTGTACAATTACCGACGCAAAAAGAAAATGCATAAGGTGGATCCGAAACGGTGTGTAATTTGAAACTGCATCCATTCAACGAGACAATAGTGCTCGATAAACTGTAGTGAGCTAAGGAAAGGACATGTTAGGCAATATCTGGAGTTCGACACTAGATGGCGCTAGTAATAGCCTCTCTAATTCAGTTGCCGAGGTTACATCAGCAGAGATGTGGAAGGCAGCAGTAGACGAACGGCGAGTGAATTTTCTGTTGTAGACCTTGGAGTTATGATACAGAGCTTGTGCAGGTGTGATAAAGTTGTTAAACAGTCAACTTCAACTCCTTCTTGAACTCAAGTAGTAAGAATTTGTACTCTTCTATAGTACTGGCTGCCGAGGCCAATGCAAATACCGTATCAATAAATAATCCTGATGTGAATAATCTATTTAAGAGGATTTACAGAACCTCCTTGAAAACGAGAAGGACAATGATTTTTAGAGGGATGCACGATCGAAACATTGACGAGATCCATATTATTTTTAAAAACTAAATGTTTCGGCTCCCCCGTGTGCATGTAGGACTTTACTGCACGCCTAAATAAATGGGTTAATTCACTCCTAGACTAATAATAAAAAAAATCCAACGCATGAAAAGTAATGTATGAAACTATAACAATAAAAAACGTAATAAAATACAAAAACAACAACACATAGCATAACTCTAATAGCGACTGAAAGACCCTAACTTTCTGACATGTATTTCTCTCCTCTAGATAGAGGTCTCAAAATCCTTTTCCTGGAATTCCTGCAGAACGCAGTGTCTTCTAATTTTATTAAAACCTCAACCGTCAAAACAATTAACCTAATTATTTTCTAAGTCATATAAAGGATTTATTTTTATATGCCAATATATCATATATGTTTACACAATCGATTTAAACGTTTGGGCACCCCTGGTCAAATTGCATGTTTCAGAGAATCTCTGAGTGAAAAGAAGTTAACACAACCTGTGCAGGGTACAAACTTTAACATGACACATTTCTGCACAGTTTAACGTACAGTTGCTATTTATTTCCTGAATTTAACAGACTGAAAAAAAAAATAAAACAGTGAAACATGCAATTTGACCAGGGGTGCCTACTTTTGCATACAACTGTACACAATACCTTATAGCCAGGTTAGAAGTATTACATCGATGCAGTTAAATTATTACATCAAGTACCAGAAACCGGGACGATACTAGTCCATCGAGGATCTGAGTTTGATCTTGGATGGAGAAGCTTTGGAAACTATAGTCCATCTTCTGGTTCAAGTTGTGCATTTTCTGTTCATTGGAAGACCAGGACTTTTTATTGGTTCATGTTGAATCCTTACCCAATGTGTCGTGTCCAGACAAACTTTTCTTCTTTTCTAAAAAATCCTTAGATATAATAGAAAGGATAAACATAATTTTGTTAAAATATTTAAAAATATATAACTTCAGCATATTTGTGTAATTTATAACAATAGTTGGAATTGTCCTACCTACAGTATATGGATTACACTGGTAGCTTACTTTTAAAACCAAGTGTTTCAAACCAGGCATTAAGACTGAAGGAAACTGATGCTTTCCTAATTAATCTGAAGCAAATACAAAAGCAATTACTTCTTGTAGAATCCTGTCACCTGACCGTGTAATTTCATTAGGAGTTCTTAATTACTGTACAGCTTTTAATCAGAGGTACTGAAAATCTCGAAAGTATTCTCCAGGCTGGCGAGAATGAGATGAATTACTCCAAGACCAGACAATTCTAGACCCTTTCCTTTAAGAGGAACTACTGTAAGTAGCTGTCTGTGGAATTTCACACCCTTTTTTTGCAAATTCTCCTTTATTTCTGCTTAGTCAAGATCCAGTATTGCCCACCAAATGTTTTTATGAAAACTTTTATACTTTTAGACAAAACTATCTGGACATAACATATCCATTGTCGTCCTTCTATTCCACCAGAAAAGACCAGAGAGTGTTTGGGTTTGAAGAGCTACAGAAGCCATTGCAAAGCACTCATTGCCAGACACTTTGAGATCTTAGATCTCTCCATGCTCTCAAAATTGATTTCAATGGCTTTCTTAATGTTTCCAGCTGACATTTTCTGTATTTTCTCACGTCAGACTGCAGTATTTCAGTACTGCTACTTGAGCCACTCTTGACATGAGTGGTCTTTGTGAACAAAAATCCTTGAAATCAGAAAGATAAAACATTGTTCAAAATAAAACAATATTAATTCTATACTTATACATATAAATATTTTATTATAAATTGTAATAAAACATTTTCCTGTGCTCTACAATTACATTGGTTTCTAGTTTACAAATATAGATGTCTCAAAAATTAAATAACACAGATGAATGTTTTGTTTTAAAAAGTGTTATTTTGTTAGTTCACAAAGTACAAAAACATGATTTCTCTTTTTCTTTGTATACCTGCCTCTTCTTTGGGGTTTTTATTTGTCAGTGCATTAAACATAGTGTGACTACACTATGAACTTTTGGTACATACTGTAATTGTATTTATTCAATAAACATCTGGACAGTTTGCCCAAATTGCCTCTTTCTCTTAGTCTCAAAACACAGAAATCACTTCATTTTACAAGACAGAGTAAAACACAAAATGTTGTACATTCTGGTTTGACAGATGTCAGGATTAATACATTAGTAAACAGGATCACTTGTGCTGGAATGCAGTGTGTGAACATTAATAATGCCCGTGTACAGGTATTAATATGTAAATATGAATACATATCGAATGGATATTACCGTGCAGTTTTGAATAACAAGAGACCCACATAGGCTGCCCCTGATGATCTATAATTCAGCAGCTGGAGGTGAATGTTACCTGATAGGCCCTGGCTGTCTCTGGAGCCAGCATGCTCTCATTGTCCTCCACGGTGAAACCCTGCTCCAGGGCAAACGCCAGGGCTCCTTCCCCGACCAACAGGCTGTGACAGCTCTGCTCCATGACTCTGCGGGCCACTCTGACTGGAGTCCCCACACTGTCACACACACACCACACACACGCGTCAGGGGCACAGACATAGGGGGCACAACAATCCACCGGATTGCGAAGGAACGGGATGCTAACCGGGAGGAACACAGTACAGTAGAGAAACATTTGTGACATGTTCTTCAGACATACAACACTTTAAAACGCTAAAACTGAACAGCTGAGGGAGCGCTTTTAAAAATAATCAAATATTTTGTCTTATTGAGCTCACATAAATGGACTTTTACTGCCACCTGGCTAAAGTCTCCACAGCAGTAGAGAAAGGACTGTAGCGACGTGGATCGACACTAGAGGGCGCCATTGGGCCGGTGTTTAGAAATGCATCAGTCTCCTGATCAGCCTCCTGCTTGGAAGCTGGGGGACACAGTACTTCATTATTTAAAGCGTGTCCTGTTAAAGCCAGTGACTATGGCTGACACCTTGCAATTTTCTCTCTGAAAACACTTATTTGTCGTCTAGCACAGAGGCAAAGAGACAGATTCCATGACATGCCGAAAATAAAAGCACAAAAGGAAAAAGACAGGCGGTGCACAGGATACTTAATCAGCCTCTCACCAGAACAGTCGCACTCATCGGCTGCAAGGTTTCAGCACTTCAAATGTAGCAGTGAAGCTGGCTAGGAGTCACCGCTCTTGGCTTTGTGGATTAAAGTATCAAGGTTGCCAAAAAGGAGAGCAAGTAAAAAGGAACAATTCGATGTAAAGGGTGTATACTTGTCTTACCCCTGAAGGGCTGCCACTGCACCAAAGCGGCCCGCGATCCCCTCCATGAGCGCAGCGTCACACTCAACCAGCCCCTCGCTGTTGGGGTAGCCCCCTCTGCCCACGACGAACCGGCCCGTCTCCCTGTCATTCTCAATATCTAGAAACACGCAGAGCTCCAGTGAGCAGAGCTCTTCAGCAGCTATATCATTGTGCAGCTCACAACTGACAACACACTGAAGCCAGTACCCGGCCTGTCCAGCACCTGGATGGGAGACCTATCTGGGACAACTGAGGTCGCCGCTGGAAGTGGGGTCAGTGGAGCCAGTAGGGGGCGCTCACCCTGCGGTCTGAGTGGGTCCTAATGCCCCAGTATGGTGACGGGAACACTATACTGTTCAATAGGTGCCATCCTTAGAATGAGATGTAAAACCGAGGCCCTGATTTTCTGTGGTCACTAAAAAATACCCATCTATGAACTGGCTTTACCACTCTGTTCTCCTCCCCACTGATAGCTGGTATGTGATGAGCGTATATAATATACTATATAAGTGTAAGGACTTCTTATTAGTTATCATTCAGGTAACCCTGATGTGATTATCCCTATTAGTTCTGATTAATATGATCTTAATCTCATTTAGTTTTTTTTTGGTCATTAATACTCAATAAACTATTTTAAGTATCTATTCTAGAAAAATAAAAACTACAACTGCAGAAAACCATAGATTGCCATGCAATCTGCAAACAGGCACAAATTCCCATGGCTGTCCCAAAGATAAAACGAGCCGCTGATGTGACATTATCTGAGTGTGCCTACAAATCTTTACAATCCTTCGAAATACAGAGTGGAACAGTGGTTGTCTCTCTGGACCACAAGGATCGGGTGCTCGAATCCCAGGTAAATGCTGCTGTTGTACTCTTCAACCGGGTACTTACTCTTTTTATATGCCTACATTCCTCCCACTCATACATGGAGCCCCAGGCCATCAGTGAAAATAATTTGAATTTGATCTTAATTGACATAGCTGGTAAAACAAAGGAATAGATCAAATCTAGCCCTAATGTTTATATTGGTCACATTTTGCAATGGACACCCATAGCAGCAGAAAACTGACCTTTTAATAAGATCAGTTACATTTGGATAAGTCTCCTCACGTGTTTAAAACCGATCTTTGTAATGATTTAAGTGAAATGCATTGGTACTGTGTATTGTGTGGAGGCTTGTGTGATGTTTTATTTCCTTTATATCACCTCAATGTAGAGCCGAGTGTTAGGCAAGATGTTGTAGTGTTGAGTCCTGAGTGTCACTTACCTGCCATAGCCTGTTCCACACAATCAGTGGAGTGCTGTCCTTGTACAATTAAATACCTCATTTTCTCTACAGCGGGCAGTGAAAATGACCAGGTACCTACAGCAGCCATTCCTCCAGAGATCTCTGGTGATACTCATGTAGCAGGTACTGATTTTGGGTCACCTGCTGAACAGACAATTTTAGTAAACACCTCCAGGAGACTAAGGAGTGGCTTATTCTACAAAATGAGGCAATTTACAGAAACAACCTTCAATGGAGTGGAAAAATCAGTATTCCTTTAATTGCTTCATTTTCATACACAGATACAGGGCGATAAGTGATTCATCTTCATACACAGTCACGACATTTGTCACTTTGCTAGTCAACAGTGTTTTATCTTGCACAAGGCCTCACAGACTGTACCTACTCAGCACCTGTCTGAAGTCCAGGGGTGGTATTTATAGTTGTATACTTTGAGAAGACAGGAACAACAGGTTCATATTGAGGATTAATAGTATTTTTTTCTAGTCCGACTACTACTTGTTTTCCTGGTTTCATTTTCAATTTAGAAGTAAAGCCCACACTGAGAGTTTTTTTCTTGTGTTACCTTTGCAAGCTTTTACATGTTTTGCATTTTTTGTTAAATACTATTGAAATCGGTCAGTAAATCTCATAAGATTACCGTAGAACATTAAAACTATGTTAACATTGTATTTTCGACACATTGTATTAAGATTAGTGTTTTACTATAGCACCATTCAGTATATTGGTTATTATTGTTATTGTTGTTCTTATTGCCTAATACAAAATGTCGTATTAGTTTTGTAGCATTATCATCCCTCATGTCTATAGCAAATGGTAATTTGTATGTGACAATACCAGAAGTACATTTATAAACATTTTAACATTTTCATTCTCTTCCTGTATCAAACAAAACAACACACACCCTTTTTTCCCTCGGAACCGACAAGGTCTTCGCTGGCTCATTGAAAAGAATACTTATCTTCAACTGTAACGTAGAGCCTAAAGATCTGATTGGCTGCAACGCCATGTCAATAACTCGTGAGTTCAGGTACCAGGATGAGCTGCCACAGCTGCCGCAATTTTCTCCATTGTGATTGGATAACGTCACGTCCATTTTTTAGACGGGCGGGCTCTAACGTGGAAGCTCGGGTCACATGGCAGACTTACCGGAAGAAACCCTTTCCGGGAGCCGGGGTGGTGATTTCCGGCTTGCTGAAGAAAGTTGAGCAGGAGAGGTCTGCAGGTTCCTGGATTCTGAAAAATGGACGGTCAGGGAAGGAAAGTGGTGGTTTGTGACAATGGAACCGGGGTAGGTCTGATGACAGATTTCTTACTTTCGGTGATTTGTGCTTCTGCCCGATTCTTCTATGGCTGATTGTGGCTATGGAAAATAGAATCGCCTGAAACAGGAAGTAAAGAGGTTAGCTGACTGGGTGGGTAGGCAAAGGAATGTGAGTCTGTCAGCTTGTCAATTCCGCTTTCTTCAAAGGGACTGATGCTTAATCTGGTGCTTACAAGGTATATACGTTTTAGATTCAACGCTAAGATCCCTTGTTGAGCCACGTTCTGCAGTAGTGGGTAGACTGTGTTGGCATTGTGGATTTTGTATGGATGTAGTCATCGCTTGCCACCAAGGGCCAACACAGGGGATAATTGCTGGAATTTAGTCCGTAAGGGGAAGAAACGGAGCTCGCATGTCCCCGGTGAAATCATTAGATGTTTCTCTCCTCTCCCCTATCATATGTATGACGAACCATCAGTACATCGGTGCCATCACGGTATATTTAAGTGCCCCGTAGGTGAATCGCATTGTTCTGGTAACAAAAAAAAAGTTTCTAAGTCGAAGCTACGGATTGTGCCGTTTTATCAATGAATTGGGGCAGTATTGTTTGCGAGGGCGACAGAAACTGGAAGCGGTTGCACAGCGGTGTTGAAAATGCACCAGCACTCTGCCTCTGTAGTTTGAAATGTCCTTATACAGTTATCACTGGTACAGCCCCTGCTTGCGGTTTTACAGAGCTCGACAGGATGTCAGATCACGCAGGGCTATCTGTCGCGGCGCTTCGCTTGGAAGGTTTTCGGGATTAGAAAGCCCTGCTCGGACAACTCTCATTTTAGCCCCTTTATTTGTAAATTCCGATCATTTGTGAAACAGGTGACGCGTTCCGCGATTAAAAGATTGATATTTCCTCCATACAGCAGCCATGTTGCCGTACTGTGTGTTGCCACAGTTCGTCTGTTTGTTCAAGTCTGTACATGCAAACACATTCTTCGCGTTAGTTCCCAAAGCGCTTCTGAATTTACTTTCTTTGCGAAATGACAAACCAAGAAAAACAATTGTAAAGAACAACGTTAAGAAAAATCACTTTAAGAACCTGCCGATTTACTAAGAATGACTTCAGTCCGTCCATCTGTCTTGGTGTCTTATTGATACTCCTTGATGTATGAAACTCACTGCGGAAAAGCGGCTTAAATAAAATGAAGTATTTGGGTTCCAAGTTCACAGCAGATTGTAAGTGAGGAACATATTGCAAACAGACTTACAGTCCTTTCATAAATACGTAAATTCGTTCTGACTAAATACAGCACCAGTCAGATGGACATCCTGTCCTTTTTCTGGGACACTGGGGGTTATGTATTTTTTTCTTTTTTCACAGTGCACTCCATTCTCCGTCCATCAAAAAAGAAAGCTCATAGCAGCGTGTCCCTTTTCTGTCAAATATTAGTTAACCAGCGCCACAGGAGGTATTTTTTTAGTTTTCTTCATCATTGCAGCGTGTGAAGACTACAGAGCACTGCTTCTGAAGCATACCTGTGGAAGTGGCAGTTCAGATGAAATGTATTAGGTGTAGTTAGATGTATTTATTCGCCACGGTGAGATCCCTATAAAAACATGCACTGCTGCATATTTAATGCGGAGATACTGTGAGTAATGTTTGAACACGTACAGAAATGTATTGCCTTAGGCTTTTGATTGTGGTGTTACACCGTTTTAATAATTTGGTCAGTGGTGATTAATTTGTGTAAAGATAATTAAGTAGTTGCACTCTACAACTGTTGTTTAAGAACAGATTTTAGAACAGGTTGCCAGCGAGCTGAGGACGCTTATAAAATTTCAACCTGAAAAGAACAACATTTGTTTCCTTTTTAAATCAGCTCAGGTACAATGAGCTGATTGCATAAATCGTTTAGAGACCGAGCAGTCCAGATATCTCTGCCCATTAGCGATAAGAGCAGTGGGTGGGTTCTTTTTTTCAGCTTGGAGATTTGGCAGTAGAAACGTGCGTTTCGTTTTTTTCTGAACTAGTGCACATTAACTTGCCGGCTGGACTGCACAGGGAGGGAAACTTAACAGAGCACTTTGAAGGATGTTGGTTAATGTGCGTTGCAGAAAAGTGCTAGTTGTGCACTGCTTGACTGATGACTCAAAGGGAAGTGAGATCAGCACTGAAACCACATTCACAGCCCAAAGAACTTTAACTGTTTTATACAACAAATCAAATCTATTTCTGTATGAATGCTTATTATAGTTTTAGTTGAAATGTTTTTGTATGTCTTACAAACTATTCTAGCACCTTGCATATTGGCTGTTTTATCACAGGCTTAAGTATTGTGTGCACTTTTGGAGGTAGGCGTCTGGACAGTGGGTTACAAAAGACTTATCTTTTTGAATTCCAGCTCTGTGACATGCTTGTTTTGTGACCCTGGGGCTTGATTCTTAACCCTCACTAGCTTGGTCTCACCCAGCTGGACTACTGGGGAGGTGTCCCTTGAAAAAAATCATTTAACCTAGACCTAGATTGTTTGTACAACAAGAGTCGGATTATCGGAGAGAATGGATTGGTCACTCTGCTTGGACATGAGACTCTGAGTAGGTCTGTCTAGAAGAAAGTTGCAGAGATTAAGCTCACGGTGACTGCTGATTTTAGCCTTCAGTGCTTGTGTGGCTGTGGGCATGCCTGTTGCGACAGGTCATCTGCATTCTTTCCTTAGTGTAGCAGCTAGACAGTACTTTTCGGTGAACATGGTCAGTTTTGCAATGCTGTGGAAATACCTACAGTAGTTAGCTATTTTAGTGTCCTGTTCCACATGCCTGTATGGGGATAGCCCTGGTCCTTGAGAGCGAGAGAATCCAGTAGGTCTTGTAGGTTTGCCTTCAATCATCGGTTTCTAAAGACTTGGAAGAGAAGAACTCGATCGGTTTACTTCTGGTAAATCAGGAACAGACAACTGTGATCCTTGGGAGCCACAGAGTGTTGTAATTATTTCTACACTGCTAAATTGACCCAGTCCCCTGCTTAAGTGGTCAAAATGAAATTGTTCCAGTCATTTAGAAATTGATGATTTAAAGGTGATTCGTAAAGTGTGCTGGATCCTGGCTCTCCAGCACAGAGGGAGTCTGCCTTGCACTAGCTGTTTACATCTCGCATCCATGAGAGTTTGCGCGAATTGTGATGTGAAACCACCCTTCCTGCACACTAGTCACCATAATAGCTATGTAATGTGATGTACAAGCAACTAAGTCCAGGTTGTGCATTAGATATTTCACCACAGAATGTCTCCAACATGATTTACATGTACAGTTAACAAGTAAGTTCCATTTATCGACAAAACCATCTTGGAAGTCGAGAGCAGTATTTCTTTTGGATTAAAAGAGATGTGTTCACCAGCCTGCTTGTTTTCAAAGTAATAAGGCCGCTCCCATCACCGGAGGTTTTGTTGCCTCGTTCTGAATCAAAGAACATGCTGCTGTGCAGACTTGGAAATTTCGTGTATTTTGTGATGTAAAACCTCCAATTTACAAAATACTGTGCACATTTGACTTTTATTGTGGTGTGGAATGCACTCATCAATGCTGATTCTTTTTTAACCCCGAAATATAAAAATTGCATTGCAGTTCCCCTTTAAGCTTTCATTGTGAGAGGTTTTCAGAATATATTTAATTTATGTTCTCAGTTTCTTGTATGTCCTATTTATACATACAGCATCTCTAATGGATGTCTTTACATTTATATGCATTTGCACAAAGAGAAGATGAACTTATGTGTAGTGGTAACTCCAGGAATTTCAATAAAACAGTTTTTCCCAAAGGATTGCAACACATTCCTAATAGAATCCCTGACCTTCTGTGACAACATGTGGCTAATGTGAAAGACGACAGCTTTGCTGTCCACTGAGCTCTTCTAGAAGCCGGCAGCGTTCCAAATGTATTCCATTCCTCTGAAAAACCGTGTCCTCTTCTCTCATTCTTGGCCAGTTTGTCAAGTGTGGCTATGCTGGTTCCAACTTTCCGGAGCACATCTTCCCCGCGCTGGTCGGCAGGCCCATCATCCGATCGACCACCAAAGTGGGAAACATCGAGATCAAGGTAAAGCTCTCTCTCTGCTCAGCTCGTGTCAAGAAAACATCTGCCAGACTTGAGGTTCTGCATTTAATTGTTTGTTTCTCCTTTTTTTCTTCCACTATTTAAGATGTTTGCTGTCATTGTGAATATATGACCTTGCTGATCCATTTACCAAGAACGGGTGTGGAAGTGGAAATTTGCGACAGAGTTGCTGCATTTTGCAGCAGCTCGGAAGCCTTTGACTATGACAAAATAGCTCTAGTATTCAAAATGAAGGCCTGAAATCCATGCTTGTATATTTATGGAGATAGTTCAGGTGGGCAGCTGCGTCAGCATGTGTAGGCTGCAAAGGAACAAGTAATAGGTTTATTCCATGCTGAAAAGAGAAGAAAGAAAACAACGTTTCGGCCGTGGCGGCTTCTTCGGGTGTGAGCCAGGTGGGTAGATGTGTCGGCATGCGTAGGCTCACCTGAAGAAGGCTCCACGGCTGAAACGTTGTTTTCTTTCTTCTCTTTTCAGCATGGAATAAACCTATTTATGTAGATATAAAAGTAAGACAACCACCTGCTGTGTGTACTTAGAAGACCTTTCTTTTCTGCATTTCCCTTTTCGTGGAAACTTTTATTTAAGGTTTTAAAGGGTTTGATGAGGTCCACTGTCATGTAATCGATCCAATATTAAGTTACAGCTGTTGAACGTGATGCTCTCTAATAGTGTCGCAAACCTTGGTTGGCATTCATTTGAAAGTTATCAGCATTCTGCATTTTGGGACTGATTTTATTTTGAGGGGAGTACCCAGTATTGCAATTTATTTACGTGGCATTGTGCTTATGAAGGAGCAAAGAACTTGAAAATGATATGCAATTATAAGCCTTTAGTTTTAATATGTTCATTGACAAGTTTTGTAAAATCGTTCAAGATGTTAAAATATGCAGTAGGCATTATAATTTATCAAAGAATACACATTCTGTATTCTGACTAATTATGAAGCTTTGTGTGTTAATTTATGCATTTTATAATTCTTTTACATTTATGCACTCCTTATTTTCATGAGCCCATATTGAGTTTGACATGAGAAGATAAGTCCATGCTTAGTGTTATCTTTTTGTTTAACAAAAACAAGTTGTTCGCTGTTTATTCTTTTGCCTTTCTCGAAACATTAATGTGTGTGAGGTAAAGTAATTCAGATCGGTGATATATGTTCAAAGTGTCATAAAACATGAGTTTCCAATTTTAAAGTGAGTTCTTCAAATGACATGCCAGTATTTAAGGGACAAAAACAAGTATGATCCATTTCTGCTTTAATTAAGTGGAAGAGCAGTTTATGTAGTATAATTAAGACTGCTATGCAAAGCACATTACGTTTCTTTAGGAAGAGTTCCTTATGCCAATAGATTGCAGGCTCAAGCTTTGTCAATACAGCCCATAGGTTTGTGTATTTGTTGTGATTATCCCAGATCTCAAGTACTCCTGAAACTGAATTAAGTCGTATTCTTTATATCATATTCTGCGGGACTAAATGTATGTATTAGCCAAGTTCTGTGACTCTGGAGCCAGGTCTGCACATAGTTTTCAGTTTGCAGGACGTGGATGAGGAAACCAAGCAAATGGTTAATGGTTGATGACTGGACCATGGAAGACTGCCTTCTTCTGAAAGATGTTTAGTCTGGGGTAGAAGATGCCTGTCCAACCCGTGACACTCAAAGCAGTGCTGCTGTTAAATGTGAAGAGGGTAGCCTTGGACCTAATCCTGCTTGAAGACCAGGCAGTCATGTACAGTCTCTTTTGCAGATATAAACGAGATTTCTGAAGAAGCTCCGAAAGGTGCAGTTAGCTGTGGTCTGCTTCTGTCTTTGCTTTCTGTCTGACCTTCTGCTTTTGCCTTCTCTTTCTTCTTCTTTCTTGACCTGTTGAAGTAGAATAACAAAAAGATGGTAAGTGTGGTTCAGTGTGTGCTGGTTTTTTTGTTTTTTCCCTTGTTTGCTTGGCCAGAAGAAAGATTTGCTCTGCTTGGTCATTTTTACTGTTGAGTTTCTGGTTTTTTTTCCCCCTATTTCTTTATCCTCTCTCCCTTCTCCCTTTGGTTTGCATACTTTGCCTTGATGAAAGAATACCATTCTTTCTAACCTCCTTTTTGTTTTGTTTTTTCTGTTTTGCTGGCTTGGCTGATCCATGTAGGGTATTCACCATTTGGTCAGTGACGATTGTGTCTGTAGAGTTTAATCATGTTCCCCTGTCAATCAGTCCTGCGAGTTCCCTTTGATCGAGGTAGAAGCACACAGACACCTCTTTCAGACTAATGCAAGAGTTGACTTCACTGCAAGTTCTTCCTCTTTTTTCCCCCCATCTCAAATTCATTTGCAGAAGTGTTCAGTCTGACAATGAGTGAAGTAGCCTGCAACACTCACCCATTTGGTTATTTAAGTTAACTATTTCCTTTAGTACATCCGCCATGGTAAAACAAAATAGAGACCATATATAGTTGTTTTTCATAGTTCTTTCCAGAGTCCTGCTAGAACACACGGTTATAGCATACAATTTTTGAGAATTGCAATTGTTTGGCCAGTCGAGTTTTTACCTGAATGAAAAAGGCCTTTTGAAAATTGGTTGGTCTTTAATCTGGTGCAGCATTTTATTTCATTTTTCACTAATCCCTAAGAATGGATTGGTACAATTAAATACTTTACTGTGGTAAAACTTGCTCCCATTTTCTTCTTTCTGGTAGGGGTAACGAGGGGGTAATAACTGTTCTTTAAGGCCTTTAAGTTACTTATGGAACAGTAGCTTAAAGGCAGCCTCCTACGTGTTCAGGAACTAAAAAACAATTGAATTGAAAACAATTGAAGAGTTGAAATTAAACCTGTTATTACAGGTTCAATTGTTTGAGGGCTCAGGTGGCACAATTACCAGAAGGTGTGTGGCACCCCAGCACCAGGACTGGGAAATCTAATCCAATTTGTAGATTTCCCAGTTAGCTGTGCACACATGACACTTTACGTACAGTATTTCAGGTATAGCAGTGCCTCTAACATACATGCCAGTGGTTTGATTGAAGGCTGGTATATTTCAGAATTTTCTTTTGTAATACATTTTGGCTTTGTTCTACACCTGCTCGTTATAGACAATACCTAAAAGTTGACTGTATTTTGAATGACAAGCATTCAAAATTCTGTTTGTTTTGTCAGTTTAAGAACAACGCATTACGATCCTGTCAGTGTGTCTTTATTGTTTTAGTTTTTTTTATCTTTCAGATTTCAGCTGTGTTTGGTTACCTTTGAAATGGACAGTTGTCAAACAATTGATCAGATTATTTTCCTTTAGGAAATGGTATTCAGTCAAAAGTGTGTAATTTTAATATTGGAACTCGAAGGTGATCCTGAAATATTGTAAATGCATTCTCTTCATATACAATATGTATTTATCTCGCCCTGAGATCTTATTTGGCTGCTTCTTGATAGAAGTGGGTGTGTCAGCTTTAACAGCATGGTTGTGTAGCTAGATCCAGACCCCCGCTTTGTATAAGAACTGCCTCATCTCTGTCCTATATGCACCTACCTGTAGGATCCACTTGTGTCCTGTGGTTTGTGTTTCTCGTGGTGTTTAAACATGCAAATTCAAAAGTCATGAAGCAAACCATATGGAAAACGCAGCAGTAAACCTCAGATAATCCAGCTTCTCGTTTAAAGCACGCAGGCTTGTGAGCTGGGGCCAAGTGAAGTCAGACTTAATCAAAAGAAGCTGGCTGTCTTTGAGTAAAGATGGGTGATATTTATTTACAATAAAATTCAGTATTTCTCTCTCTACAAGAGGGAGGAGAGCAATGCAAACACCACTTGCGCATCTTGGCAGAATGCACTGAAAAATAAAGCAATGCATCTTTAAAGGTGAATGAATGTCATTGGAATTGGTTGTGACATTACTGAGGGAGTAATGCATGGAAACTTCTGTCTGCATGCCAGGATCTCAGTCAAGCCTAAACAGACTTGAGCGTCTGGCTTCGAGAGGGTCTGTGGAGTGCATCCTACTACTTTTGCTGTACGTTGTGCTTTTACTGATTAATTCACCGTGTCGTCCAAGAGCTCATCTCATCCTCATCAAGAACTTGAGCCGCAACTGATGCGCTGACTTTTTAAAAGCAGTTATCAGTTCTGCGCTGGGAGAAATTTCCTTAGTAGATCCGGATCGAAATGAATGGTTCCTTGTTTGAGTTAAGTCATTAAGCTCGGAATTTATAAATATCCCTTTAAAAGAACAATCTTGCCTCTGTGTCGTCTATGAGAATGAGCAATGGCAGCTATGTCATGTTGGCATGAATTTTCTGTGGCAGTCTGGGGCTTTGACACTTTGTGCCTGTATCTCCGACTGTCTTTAAACAATAATATTGTGTTTAATAGTCTGCAGCACAGGCTAAATGCAAATATTCTTCTTCTTTGTGGCTTGCCACAACCTTAATACAATAAATCACATTGTTATATTTTTAATTGAGCATTTCCCCCGACTTTTCTCTAGCTATTTGAATGGTAGCCAATGCCTGTGTCATTTGATTCCGATCCAAAGGTCTCCACAGCCTTTTCTCCGCAGTTGGCCTCGTCAGTTTTATAGTTCCCCACTTCCTTTCTGCCAGCGAAACAACACTGTTCTGCTGGGAAAATCCATAAAGCAATCGTCATTTTACAAAAAGTCCAGAACCATCAGCCAGTAAGTTAGCAGGAACAGCGGCTTGTGACCCGTAGTCGCGTTGTTGAACATCTGACCTGTGCCCTTGGATATTTAACCCACTTTCCCTTGCGTGTGCTTTATTTACCTTCCCCTGTTTAGAGTCCTGGCTGTCATGTCAGACAGTGCAGTCCTTATCGTTCTTGACAATCAGCTCTTAAAAGCACCCAGTGTTGGGAGAGTGTGGTCCATAGCCTAAGCTGGACAGTGGGATTGACCTGTGACCTCTGCTCCTGCAGGATCTGATGGTGGGCGACGAGGCCAGCGAGCTGCGCTCCATGCTGGAGGTGAACTACCCCATGGAGAACGGCATCGTCCGGAACTGGGACGACATGAAACACCTGTGGGACTACACCTTCGGTCCTGAAAAACTCAACATCAACTCCCAGGACTGCAAGATCCTCCTCACAGAGCCCCCAATGAACCCCACCAAGAACAGGGAGAAGATCATTGAGGTGAGCAGCTCCTCGGGGTCTTCTGCAACGCATCTGTCTTCACATGCTATAGTTCGACATTTGCCTCCAACACTTTTTTTTTTTTCAGCTTTCAATGTTTCCTTGACCACTTGCAAAATTGAGAAGTTTAATTGTACTGGGAAATTAAACTCTGATTTTCACTTCTCAGATGTACTCAGCATAAAGCACTTCCTAATATCAGGTTGTTTCCCAATATCAATTTTAATTCAAATTACGAAAAGCCAAAACGTGAACAGGTTTGACCTGACCTCATAATTTGAATGCCCCGTGAACCAAAATTGAAAGGATTCACTGTAGCTTTGAGAAGACTGCATTGTGAGGTATGGTGCCAACTAGGCTACATTTTTGCAGGTTCGAGTTCTTTATTGTAAGTAAGATATCTCCATGCTCCAGTTCGCTCCATATAATTAAAAGCTGTTTTAGAATCTGCATTGCCTTGTAGGTTTCTGCAGACACTTGTGAATTTTAACTGGATGGCTAGCAGCTTACCCACAAGGTGCTCATTTATGTGTTTTTGGTTTTTCCGAAGCAAATAACCACCTTACTAGAGACGAGAGTGAAGTGGACAAGAAAGTATTTAAGAAGTATTTAAGAAAATAATTATCCAAAATATCCAAAGGGATGACTTGAATGAGTAAAACTGTCATGACAGTGAACAGTCCAGCAATTCCACTTCATACCAGTGCACAAAATGCACTTGGACACGTTGTTCTCAGAAAGATTCACAGTTTTTATACAGAGAAATGCATATATGTTTTAAAATAGTTCTAAATCAAATAATGCTGTCATGCACATTCATTTTTGCGGGTGCTTCAGGTTTGGCTGATGTCATCTGCATGTTGTTCTGCTTTGCAGCACAGATCGCAGATATCTGTACTGGACTCTGTTATAAATAAAGATATTAATGGTATAGTCTATGCTAAGAGATATAAATGTACTCGCTGGTCAGTGTTTGGGCTTGAAGTCTCAGTCATGTTGCAAAAGGTTTGTGAACAAGAAGCTTTGCAGATGATTAATATATTATAGAAGTCCCTTTGAATTACTTATTCTCTAATTACTACTGCAGTGTAAACGAAACAGTATCATAGTTATACATTGTATACTTGCACTACATATTTATGTGTATTTTAAATACAGTTTAGATCTTTCTTTTGTCTCTTGCTGCATTCACTAAGCTATTTTTTTACTTTCCTTTCCAGGTCATGTTTGAAACATATAAGTTCTCTGGGGTTTACATTGCAATCCAGGCTGTACTGACCCTGTACGCTCAAGGTAGGTCATGGACATCTCTCTCAGCACAGCCTTTCGTAGCCACCAGAAATAGCCTGCATTTCTTCACAGTGGATGTGAAATCTGGTTGCTGTGATCCTTGCTAGTTTTAAGCAGTTTTCTGATACTAGATGGATGGACAGACACGTTTTTAGTTTTTGTTTATTCTGAAAAATACTGAATGCACACCTGGATTTACATGCTAAATTTTATTGTAAATTTGCATTAATAAATATTTATACCAACTTCAATACATTTTAGGCTGAAAAATGCTTGACATGTGTGTAAAAAAAATTGCAGCCTATTGAATACTAATTTTAAATCCCAGTGTTTTTAAACTGATTCTATTATTTATATATTATTTTTATGGTCAGATTTCTAGAAGCCTGCAGCTAGGTTAAAGAGTTTTGTTCGTTAACAGCTGTTAGACTTGCCAGATAAATACATTAGCGTGGGAGTACATCCGCAACCGTCTGTGCTTAAGTGAATATAAAAATCAAATGGCTCCATTTTATTGCCTTGCTTCCCCATTGGCAGGAGTTTTTAATAAGGTGGGGAGTGCCACCTAGTGGTGACGTTTTGTTTCTCCTCTGTGGCTGTGAAAGTCGGGGCTCTTTCCAGTAGTAGCTATGTGAAGACCAGCAAGGTTTGTTGCTCAAGAGAGGCTGTGCCGTGTGTTCAGGCTTGCTGACCGGGGTGGTGGTGGACTCGGGCGATGGCGTGACCCATATCTGTCCTGTGTACGAGGGATTCTCGCTGCCTCATCTAACCAGGCGACTAGACATTGCTGGAAGGGACATCACTCGCTACCTCATCAAGGTAACTTTCCCTGCCAGGTACGCTGTTGTGCATCTGTGTTTGTGGCAGTGCTGCTTGTTTGTGCAATTAGGACCGCTGCACTTAACCATGTAAAAGAGATAAGATCACTTTATTGGCCATATACAATTTCTTGCATTAAGAATTTGTCTTTTCGCATACCCCAGCTTGCTCTCCATGAGACACACAGACAGGGAGAGAAGCTGGGGGTCAGAGCGCAGGGTCAGCCATTTATACGGCGCCCCTGGAGCAGTTGGGGCTAAGGGTCTTGCTCAGGGACCCAACGGAGTAGGATTCCTCTGCCGGCTGCGGGATACGAACTGGCAACCTCCCAGCCACAGGTGCAGATCCTTAGCCACACAGCCACCTCACCGCCCCTGACCCAGATGTATATCTGACTGTTCTTGCTGATTTTATATCTGTATCCCATGTGTTCCAGTGTTCCAAAGCCTACAAGTCACTGTTGCAGGAACTGTACTATAACAGTTTCTGCAGGTCTGGCTTTACCAAGACGAAGAGTGCTAATTAGACTCTCTCCGGGGGGTGCCTCATCTTATTCATTGCATAAAACCACGACTGTCTGTTTCTGCAGTGTTTTATTTGTCATTTTTCCGTCAGTTAAGCAAGTCGTTCATCGGGGAGCTCTGAAGAAAAAGCCCCTGGCCCTAACTAAAGCACGTCTTGTTGTAGTTGCTTTTGCTGAGGGGTTACGCCTTTAACCATTCGGCCGATTTCGAGACGGTGCGCATGATGAAGGAGAAGCTGTGCTACGTGGGCTACAACATCGAGCAGGAGCAGAAGCTGGCCTTGGAGACCACAGTGCTGGTGGAGTCCTACACGGTATGCGCTGCTGGCCCCACTGAATGTGCTCACGTCTGTGAGGTCATTTACCAGCAACTTCAGGAATAGCAGTTTCCTGTGGAGGACATGGTATTCTCATTTGTACAGTTTGATTTTATGGTTGGCTGCAACACCCCCTCGATTTACAGTTAATTTCAGTTCAACAGCCATAGAGCGCTGCACTGTACAATACTGAACATTGTGGTTTCCTCCTAATACACTCCATAAAGGTGTAATGAAGCATTGTGTGTTGCAAGAAATTATTTAAGAAGTAGGAAAGCTCAGCATAGTTCCATCTTTTATTTGCTTGCCTTGTGAAGGGTGATATCTATGACACTTTGTCCCTGAAGTAGTTTTGCAACCTTTGTATTTTTCCTTGTTCATGTTCCAGTATTTGAAAACGCTCAAGCCTGTACACTGTGGGACCAAACATCTTAGGTTTTCATTTGTGCTCCAGTTGTGATCTGTGAGGCCCATGACTCCTGTGTATTTTTTTTTGTAGACGTTATTACCAAATTATATGATCAAGGTGTCTCATTTAATTGAGATACATTTAATATCTGTTGGTGTTTTTTGTTCAGACTGATTTTTTTAATTGAATGCTGAAAGGTTTGGTTGACGTTGTTTTGGTTTTCATCTGGTGTTGCCTCACAGGCTTGTTTATTTTTCTGTACCTTTCTGTTTAACAGCTCAGCTCTTGGAAAATCGCAGGTGAACCTTTTTGCTGAGCTTTTAAGTTGGAGTTTATTTTAGCTTGTGTTTCTTTCCAGCAGACTTAAGAAAAACGAGGAAAATACAGAGACTGTTGTACAACTTAACCTACGTGTAACATCATTTCCTGTGTGGCCCAAATCTTTCAAAACCCCTCCTAATATGTGTTTCCTAGTTTAGACCAAGGCCCTCAAGCAGTGAATGGAATCACTGATCCTGTTATGTTTATACGTGTGTTGTTTTTTTAAGAAGAGGTTTTTATTATTTCATGACCTTGCAGGAAGCTTTTGAATCACTTTGTCAGCCTTTTAAACCTATTCATATGAAGGCAGTCCTGAAGCTACTGAAATGTAGGATAGTTAATTATGAATATTACCAACTGTTTGAAGATGAATTACAGTGTTATAGAGTGAATATATTTAAACGCGGAATCTCTTATTCTGCCATCCACTGAGCAGTAATTTTTCTGTCAGAAAGAGCTCCAGCAGTAGCCTCTCTAGTGCTCCGCTTACCCACAGCATCATTTAAAACAAATGCTGAGAACAGGCCTTCAAACAAAATTGCTAATTGATGTAGGTTTTTATTTTCACATTACGTTAGCCAATCATAAATATTGTGTATTACTCCTTATTAAAATTAGGGATGTCCTCAACTGTACCTGCCTCACCTGTATAGAATTGTTTTTCCCCTTTGATAGTTACCACCTGAGAAAAGTCTTTTAGTACTTTGCTTGAGAATCCTGGAACTTGAGCAATGCACCACAAAGAGAGAACAAGCCCTTCTGCTCATGAACACGCAGTTAAAAAAGAAAGGGAAACATGAGATTTTGGAAAGGGATTTGTACTGCTCCCAGATTTTGTGTGATTTTAAAAGGAGGTAGGAACTGCATCACAAAGCTGTCACCGCCATCAGGATAAAATGTAATCGGATGACCTGTTAGCTCTGTGCTGTATTTTGACTTTCTGTATTTATTTCTCCTGCATCACCCTGTTAAGTGGCAGAGCTGAAAGATCAGACTTACTTTCTAGATGTAGTCAGACCTTGTTAAAACCAAACTTGTTCTAGCCTTGCTTTTGAGCATTAGCTTTAGAGAGCATGGTTTTTTTAAAATTGGGTCACAACCCAAACTGGGTCAGGGAGACCTTGCCAGTGGGTTGCAGGTGAGGAAAATAACAGGAGCATCAGGACGATTTTCTCCCTCTCCTCTGCTTAAACTTGTAATGGTAGGAACACGAGCCTCTTTGTACATGGGCATCTTCTAAGGTTCCTTTTTAGAATTTTTTTTAGTACAATAAAGGATGTAGAGATAAGGTATAGCCTGGCCTTGACGAGATTTAAAAACCTTTTCCTACCTGTTGTTTGCACTCCCACTGGCATTCAAGGGATCAGCTAGGCACCCTGGGTTTGTGACAGCCTTCTGGTCATCAGTGTCTTCTTGGGATTGTCCCAGGGGGTCCAGAGAAACAAGGGAAAATGCTTGTCCAGGAGTGTGAAAAATCAACAGTCACACAGTGCATCTGCTGACCTGCACTCATGCTTTTAATACTTGGTGTGCAAATTGTACATTTCCGTTCAATCCAGGAGTGAGCACTTCCCTTAGTAGCAGAAGGTGCTCTTCAGTGTCAAGTGAGTCATTTTCATGCCAGTGTCCCATCTCTCCCTCCAGCTTCCCGACGGCAGGGTTATCAAAGTAGGAGGAGAGAGATTCGAGGCCCCAGAGGCCTTGTTCCAGCCTCACCTTATCAACGTTGAAGGTGTCGGAGTGGCCGAGTTGCTCTTCAACACCATCCAAGCTGCTGACATCGACACCAGGTATGCGGTTTGGCTTTCTGTGTGGGCGTCTGTAAGTGAGTAGGCAGGGCTTCTTCTAAAGCCGGAGGTCAATGGGCTGTCCCAGCTCAGTGGCTGTTGATGTGTTGCTTTGCTCAGGTCTCTGAATGTTGAGTTGATGTCTGTGATGTTGGATTTTAGTTCTGTATCACATATCGCATACATGACGAGAGCCTTCAGAATTTCTCCGCGAGGGTAATCGATTCTTTTGTTGCCCCACTGTGTGCACTGAAATCTGCGGTTTTACTCTGGATTTGCACTCAAGGCGGCTGAAGAAATCCCGTTGAGGGACTAAACATTTAATAGTTGTACCTAGACATGGGATACAGGGATGTATCTTTTCATTGCACTGTAAAACCATAAGTGTTGGTAAGTTGAAACTTATAAGAAGTTCTTTTTATATAATACAAAATCCTGTGCTAGGAATTTCTCTGATCAAACATGAGTATTTTAGGACAGATTCATTGTAGCGCAAAACTGGGGGGGGGGGATTTGTTTAGACCTTGGTTTGTGGAAGACTGAGACTGGCGCAAAAATAATTTGGTGGGAATTGAACACTGGGCTTGCCCTCTACACCCAGTTAAGTCAACTTTGCCAACAGGACATGTACAGGCGGGCACGCTGTTTCAACAGAGTGGCCCTCTTGAGTCAATAGTCCTGAAAAGGAATGTAGCACGCGTACCTTGAGGAGACTGATAAGAGGCTGGTCAACATATAGTAACTGTTCTTCCAATGAACTGTGCTCAAATTCCGAAGGGTGGCAACTGATCGCATAGGTCAAGGTGGTACTGCTGGAGATGAAAGATCTTGAGACTATTTAATTCTTGCGGAGACATAAAACCTTACATGCTGTTGGTTTCCCTGCTCGTTCGTTGTGGTTTTAATGCCTCCCAGCGGATACACAGCCTAGACGCCTTTCCCTGCGGAGGGCGACCTCTGCGTTGCCGGGGAGCGGGCTGGACTCGGGTCTGAGAGTGTCCTCTGTGTCCCGCAGGGCCGAGTTCTACAAGCACATCGTCCTGTCGGGCGGCTCCACCATGTACCCCGGCCTGCCCTCTCGGCTGGAGAGGGAGCTCAAGCAGCTGTACCTGGAGCGCGTCCTGAAGGGGGACGTCGACAAGCTGTCGGTGAGTGTGGGCGCCGGGGGCGCACGGCCGCAGCGTTCTTCCAGCAAAGCCACGTTTCCCGGTTCTGAGAATCCGGGAGGGATTCTTGGTTACATTGGAATCGGGGCTGATGATGATCCAGTAGTCTTTAGGTCTCTCGGAAACCACCTAAATAAATAAAATTAATCTGCATAAAGGTTTTTGATTGACCTTAACTCATTGAGTTTACTAATCATTTTACTGCTCCTTTCAGTTTTTTTTTATTTTTGCTTTATTGTTTTATGCCTGTAAAATTCTTCCCGTGATTATTTTAAGTTCCATAGCTGTTGAAGGAAGTGGCTGACTACAGTGTTAGACTCGGTAACCAGAAAAACGCCCTTCTTTTCAGGTTCCTTGTGCGATGGTTTCATAAAATAAGTTTGTAAAGATGCGTTCCATGAGCTATCTCAACAAGTCTGTAAAAAAAAGAAACACTGTCACGAGAGGCCACCAGGTGGAGCAACAGTTCTGCCTTTTGTGGCTTCTTGGCTCCATTAAACCCAAAGGCTGTAAGCTGACCAGCCGAGGTACAGACACGCAGCCCACCAGTTACCCTCTCTGAACAGGACGCATTCGCTCCAGGTCAGGTCAGATATGTGGCAGGGTTGGGTCATGGCTTGTCCCATATCTCACTATTTAAAATCTGGCCTCTAGCCTGGAAAACCTAATTCGAGTTGTCTGGTTGTCAGACTTCTAAATTTAGATGATCAATTACAGATGAAATTCTAGATAGGTCTGAGTGGCATGTCTGTCTTGAATATAAATCGCATGGAAATTAAAGTGTATTTAAGACGTGTGGAGCAACCAGATTTTGTTGCCATTGCAGACTTTCCTCACTTAAGCAGTAGAGAAAGCCTGTATTAAAATGCTGCATGGCTGGGCTTGTGTTTATTTTATGTTATCGGAGGTGTCAAGGTGAGTTGCAGGAAGTGCTACCCTTGTTCAAGCCAGCGAATTTGTTTGTAATGCAAATGTAGGTTTGCACACTTCTGTATGTCTGCCGCTCCCTGAATTTTTTTGCCACCCGCCAGAGGATGTACTGACTGAGTTTCTGTGGGCTCCCTCTCGTCTCTGTTTCACAGAGTGAGACGTCGCATACTTACTCTTCCACAGCTTCTGCACAATCTGATCCACTCGCCAGCTGTTTGGAGCTGTAACAGGCCTGAATCGCACCCTGGCTGCTTGTAGTTCAGCTCCCTACCAGGGATGCTTATGTGAAAAGATTGTTGTTTCTTTTTTAGAAATTTCTGAACATTTCTACATATGTTTCAGTCACTGGGAATATTCCCCACTGACCGCTGTCATTTCAACTCTGAACTTACAGTGCGACTCTTCAAAGTTATGGATCTGGACCAGGTACACTGCAGCGACGCGGTAGTTCGCTAACTCCCCTCCCACACGTCTTTCCTGCCTCTTTCAGAAATTCAAGATCCGGATTGAGGACCCCCCTCGCCGTAAACACATGGTGTTCCTGGGTGGCGCTGTGCTTGCCGACATCATGAAAGACAAGGACAACTTCTGGCTGACCCGGGAGGAGTATCAGGAGAAGGGCATGCGCGTCTTGGAGAAGCTGGGAGTCACCGTTAGATAAGCTCGGACATTCTCACGCCACCACTTCCTCACGAGCTTTCGTCCGTCTTTTCCTTTTCTGCTACTTCCTTCATTCTCGCTCATCCATCGACGGGGGGTTGTGCCCGGGAGGGAGTGGGGGGGGGGGTCAAAATCTGAGTTTCCTGGCAAGGTTTTATTTTCTGTCTTGTCGCCACCAACTTTGAGCATTTATAACTTTATCATTGCTCCATAACAAACCCACAGCAGTGTCAGACCTATCTTATGCACTGCCTTTGCCATCCAGACATGCTGGTAACTCTTTTTCTTTGTATTTTTTTTTTTTTGCATTTATAGCCACAGGCGTGCTTGCTTTGTCCTCAGCTAGCTCAGTGAGCTGAGTTTCATTTATCCCAAGGATTTGCAGGGGAAAACACAAGCTACTTTCTTACATCTCCCAACCTGCCTGCTGCAGCCAGTACTTTAGGATTTGTTTGCTTAGTGGTTTCCTAATAAGATGGAAGTTGTTAGAAGGAGCGCCTACCCTTCTTTTAACGCGTCTTCTGCTTCTTTGTCTGAGAATTGTGAGGCATTAAATTCAAATTGAGACTGATCATTTTTTTTTGGCGGGGGGGTGTGCTTTCTTTCTATTGGATGTCTAATTCTTCTTTACCTCTTTATTTTTCGTACTCTTTTTGCATTGCAGTTTCTCTTTGAGTAGAGAGCAAGAATGTGTAGTCACGTAATGTACGATCATCGCCATTCACCACGGAGTTCCGGACTTCACCGTTTAGTTTTTTAAAAGGGACTGGGCTCCCTGACCTTAATTCGTCACATTTTTGGGGAGGGAGGGAGGGGGGTAACGTGTTTGTAATATTGATAACAAATCGGTGTCATTAGACATGGAAGCATTGTAAAAGCTGGTATTTAAGTTTGTTTGGCTCTCATGTGTATATTGGAGGCACTTCATATTCAGTTTTGCATAAACGTGTATCCAGTGCAGTTACTGTAACTGGATCTTTTTTTGTTCATAGCATAACTGCCTAATGCCGATTTAAATAAAGCAAAGTGATTTATACATAACCCTTGGCTGTAGTTTATTGTGGGCTGTCCTAGGGCTCCTTCTAACTGGAAACCGGTGTAGGAATGCAAATATGAACGTGAAGAAGTGTTTTATTTTTACAGAATGTGTGCAGAGGATTGTTTTGACCCCAGGGAGAGTGATTATTTTAGGAAATGTGAAACAACTCTAGGAGGACTGTTGTTTTAATAATGTAAAAATGTTTTTATTTTCTTCTGACCACAATCTTGGGAAAGAGGCATGTTTTCCTTTAATGATGAATTGAAATCATAGGGGTGGTGCAGTAGCGCGGTAGTCAGCGCTGGGGCCTGGGTTCGATTCCGGAGCTTGGAGGTTCTCCCCATGTTGGTGTGGGTTTCCTCTGGATGCTCCGATTTCTTCCCACAGTCCAAAAACATATTGGAAGGTTAGTTGGCTTCTGGGAATATTGGCCCTGGTGAGAGCATGTCCGTCTGCCCTGCGACAGACTGGCGTCCCGTCTGGGGTGTATCCTGCCCTGCTGTCCTGTTGCTTGTCCGTATGGGCTCCGGCTCCCCTGCGATCCCCTATTGAATAAAGCGGTTAGAAAATGGAAACAAAATTAAATCATATGCACCAGGGGAAAAACAAAACCAAGTGTTGGACTGTGGATGGCTGTAGGTTTAGGGGGTTGGCGAGGCTGGAGTATTGTGAAGCACTCCAGCAGAACTGAGTGTGTTGACTTTGATGTGGCTGACAGAGGAGGGAGAGGCCAGACTGTGGAACTCTGGCCCCAGATGTGCTCCGCTCTGCGCTCTCCCGGTTTCCCTGGAGACCGTTCAGCGGGGCGTGTGGCCCGGGGCTCCGTCGGCAGCCGCTTCGATGGCACCACCGCAGGATCGCAGGATCACAGCTGTGTCGCCCGGAGCCCAGGGATCTTGTACTTTTCAGACACGAGGGGAAATAAATCGAAATGACACCGAAATACCTCATTTCAGCAGGTCGGGTGTGTTCATGAGTGTTTTCACGCACGCCTCATGGAGATCTGCAGGAATGTGCATTGGTGAACTTTTTTGTTTTACAGTCCCGCTCGTACTTTATCGGGACTCCACAATCAATAGGCCAGAAAAAGATTTCCGGAATCACTATGGATAGTGTGAGAGTCTTCTGTAGGAATGCCCCCGATACCCTGTTCCACTTGTTCATTACGGTTAGCGTTGTTTGGTTTGGAGTTATTTGGCTTTCTGTTTTCTCTTTTGGGCCCTTACAGGGTACCCAGAGCAAGGTGATCAAACCTTTCACGTGCAAGGATAGCCAAGCATGACATAATATTCAACAGGTAAGTAATGGTGTTGTCAGCCAAATACCTCCTTGATCTGCAGAGGGAACCCCACTGTTGGCACACCTCTCCCTACAGTTATGAGCTAAACACATCCTAAAATTGCAGAATCGCCCAGGTTATTACACTATAGTTACAGTAGTTTCTCTGGCTAATTTACAGCATAAACAAATATCCCATTTTCTTAGAAGATGGATGTTGCACTGTAAGAAAACAATTTTTGATACAACAAATTTAAAAATGTAGCTGTTAAATGAGGTGTTTTCATGAACACTAGGTGGCATCTAATCTGCTGTGCTTTGGTGATGCAGGCTGTTGAACTCCTTACAAGCCACGGGCTTTCCAGGTACATTTGTGAACCTATGTAAGGGTTCCTCCTTGGCTGAACATGTACTCCTACCTACTAATGAGACAGTCCTGCCATTATAATTGTTAGAAATGTATCCCTCCTTTTCTGGCCATAAACTTCCATAAAGGTGACATGCTTGTCCTGCTCGCTATACTCCGTCCAAACGTCCATTAGCCATATGTGACCGGGAGGTGTGAATTACAGTGCAGGTAAAGTAGTTGTTTTTTTAAATCTTCTCCCACGATAGTTTAGAAAGCAGAGATGGAATGACGGCACAGCGAAGTGGTGGACCTGTGCTTGTTTTTCAGTTTTAAAAGCAGTCTTGTTTAAAACTGGGTGGATCTGCTTCAGTGGGATCGGGGACCTGAAGGGGGTTTAGCAAAGCCTTTGAACTTTGTGGGTGGAAAAAAAAAGCATGAAGTGCCAGTTGTGCAAACGTCATGCATGGCATCCTACATTATCCTGGGATTGGCCTTGATTCTCATTGTTGAAATGCTTTTTCATGGGTATGGGAACTAAACTGCTAAACGGCCTCGCGAAAAAGCTGGTTAAGGCTACGCCAAATCAAAGGTTAATATAAAACTATTTTCTAAAGAATTTAAAATACAGAAACAGGAGAGCTTATCGTCGCATAGAAAATCCAGCCTGTCCCCATAATGTTAACAACACTGACCGTCAAAAGAAACCTATTTATACATGCATGCTTTTTGAAAAATAAGGATTTTGGATGTTGATTAAAAGCTTTTGTTGTTTTGGCCAAGATGACAATGATACTCTTGATGTTATTGCATAAGAACTAAATCGCCTATTTAGTAAGAGTTGATGTCAACTACTGCAGGAGACAATATTCCATTTAAATCCAAATAGGAGAGACATTTTTTAAAGAGTAATGTTCAAATTAACAAAAGGCTTCTCACCATCAGGATAGTAATGCAACTTAGATTTGTGAAAGGTTGCACAGTCCTTTAAATGTGTCACTTTCTAATGGAAATGAAACCCAGAATGATATTGCTTATACTCCCATACTTTAGACTAGCTCTTGCCTTCTTCATGGTCCAGAGTCCGATATACGCATACAGTTTAGCCTGCCTAAGAGAATGCGGGATTTATACCTGAGTCACCTTTCAATATAATGATGATAAATTCTGGAGGCAGAGCAACTTGTAAAAGATAGAGATTCAGTCTCTTAAATTACCTGCATTCCAAGCAGAAGGGTGTTTTGGATCGGTTGCTAAGAAAACTCAGACTACCCCCCACATTGTACCAAGAGCACATGAATGATCTTCCCCTGGAAGGGATAGTGTCCTCCTGCATGGCTACAGTGAACAGGAAACTTTTGAACAACCAGTCAAATCAAGCCAGTACATCCTTGAGGATGGAAGGAAACCAGAGTTGCAGAAAATCAATGCAAATGTGGGAGAACATGCAGACTCCACCAACCCGAGGCAAGAATCGAACCCGGGGCCCTGGAGCTGCGGAACTGCCGTGCCAACCACTTGTTAAAACCATGATACCATTCTGACGGTATACACGCCCAGACTGCTTTCTGACATTTTCCCCTTGCTTGCAGAACGTCCTGCAGCATGCTTGCCGTTTAATCCTGAGAGGTTCAACAGCCACATGGAAGAAAAGGCAGATTGTGTGCAGCCAGGTCTCATGTATGCTGTGTAATTACCTAAAGCAAACAGCAGGCCATGAATAGTTGAGCGGGGAGCCCACTAACCACGCTGTGCAGGTGGAGACGAGGGGCAGGGGAAAGGCACAGCTCAGGCGGGAGTGATGGAAAAGGCTCTTCTTGAACAGTCAGCCCATTCCCACCTCTTGTCAGACATCCTCCCAAACCTGCCAGACACTCTCAAGCCACTGTATTTGCATTGCACTTCACACTGAGTGAGTATACATCCGTGCTATACCGACCAGCAGAAATATTTTAGGGAAAACTTGGAAAAGGAGGTTCAGTGCACACACACAGGCGTGCCCAACAACATCTTTCCAGTTGTTTATTTTTAGTTGTGCTACATTAACATTTTTCCACTTTGATTTTTGCCAGAAAAAAAAATTAAATGGAAAAAAACAAGTTTCTTTTCACTTATACATTATAATGGCACCAATGTTATAAAAAGTGACTGAGGTTTACACAGTTTGCTGCACAGAAGTATGGACACCTCTTAAGCACTTGCACATTTTTTTCCAATTAGATTTGACTGCCAAACAACATGTTTGATTCTGTGAAATGATGCAGAACTACTTTCCTTTCATCTGCAAACTTTAAAACAGACTGAGCATTGAAAACCCAATTTTTATTGGCAGTTTCTATTGTCAAACTTAATCCAAACATATAAGAGCTTAGTTAGAATCTCTAATCCGAAGCAAAACAAAGTCATAACATCTGTACAGCATTACAAATGAGATGTCAGCAGCTTATGACATGCCACTTGTGAAAGTGTGGATAAGTCCAGTGCATGGCAAGATCAAAAATCTTTCTCGAGGAGCTGTGACATTAAGTGAATAAATGACGCCCAGGGAAATAACAGTTTAAATTCCAGTCAAATATTTATAAGCCAAAAGTATGATTTCATATTTTTATTATGGTCATGTTTATGAAAGACAGAATTTAAAAAATAACCTTTCATTTTCAAATTTGTGGTTTCTAGAATGGTATTACTCTTGGAAAGATGAGGAATATATTTTTTTATAGTAGGTCTGAGTATACGTTGGGCCCACTCAGTACACTCAGTGCTATTAAGTACATTCATGGATGTTTCCCAGATTTGTCAGACAATGCGCGGCTGTGTTGAAACCTCTGGCAGTACACTCTCTCTGTATCTAGTGCTGGGAAGGCAGGCTGAGGAAGCCTCAATAATCCGTGTTTCTGAAGCAGGAGAGCACAATTACATGCTAGACTATCAAACAGAGGCCCTGGAGAGTTCAGGAGCTCAATGTAAAGGAAGGAAGGAAATACTTTTCAGAGGATAAACAGAGAAAGACTCTGGAAAAAAAAAACTGCAGATGGACAAAGGAAATGTAAACATGCCAGAATACTGGAGACTCCAGACAGGCACTACGTGTAGGAGACTGACTTCGCTAATGTTCCTACAACTAGAGAACAGATGACATTTAGAAGTTCAATTTGTAATGTTCATAAAAATATTTAAAAAAAAAGGTTTTGTGAAGACTATTTTGTCACGGGACACCTACCATCACTTGTCTCATCACATTTCTTCCTGGCACCTGGAAACCACAAAATAAGTGTTCAACAGAAGTAGTCTCTCCTAATTGGCAGTCTCCCTGTTTGTTGTCTTCAAAGGGATTTAAAACATAAAACTAGAGTAAGGCATTAGTTTTGTGCCTTCTTGGACAATATTACTATTCCAACCTTAATAAAGAGCCAAGTCCTATCAGTCACCATAACAGAATTATGGGTTAGTTCAGAGGAAAAGCAGCTTGTTTTGTGTTACAAGAAAAGCAGAGAGAACATGTATGCACTTGATGGGAGATCGCCGTTAAAGGTTGCAGTTTAAAAAAAGAATAGGGAAGCAGAAAATGACAATTTTCTATTTCTTTGTGCGCTTGCCCAGGCTAAAACTGATCATTAGGAATTCAAAGTAACCATACAGAGAAAAGGCCAATTAGTGAAAAGGGGCAGCTATATAAAGCCACACTATAAAAAGCATGCTTGGAGTTAACCTTGCTCTTTTACTGTGCGGTTTGCATCAAGTTAATTTCAGTGTAGAGAGCAGGAGAATAGCACACATTGCTCAGTCAGAGTATAAAGCTGCTTTCCTAAGGAGTGGTGGGACAGAGGGGTATCATGTTCACATTTGTTTCAGATTTCATCCATGTAAACAAAAGGAGCAGGCAGACAATCTGGGGCCTATTTAAATGAGGCCTGAATAGATCTGTCAAGTGTAACTTGACGTCTTTTTCAAGTCATAATTGAGTCAAAACTAACTTTGATGGGTTCGAATTTGGTTGGATAAACAATTTCATTTAAAAACGTTCCTCATTTATGTTTGATGACATGCTAAGATGCAGGATTTGAAAGTTAAGATTGAGTCTGACACAGAAAGCATGTTTTCAACAACACGGTATCATTTCCACTGAGTTTCTCCCATGTAAAAAAAAATGACATCATTCCATTTGGGGCTGCAAGGATGTTTGGGAGCAATATTACGGAAAGTCTGCTGGCTAGTCCCTCTGATTGTCTGTTTTAACACTTTATTAAAACGCGATGCCGGCTGCAGTGAAAATCCAGTGCACCAACCCACTTCAGTCCATCCTCAAGAGGCTGTTTTTCCAGTGGGTCTGGGGAACAGATAATGTGATTGTGATAATGTCATATTAGTGCTCCGTAATCTGAGGTCTACACACAAAACTGACACTGGCACCAAGTTCAGCCAGCAATTAAAACTAGAGCCAGGAAAGGGAGAAGGGTCACTTTCTATATAATCACAGACCAATACAGCACAAAGCAGTGTGCCGTATTCAAGTATTTTTCTGCACCTGAATATTATGACGGGCAGAAAAAGACATACTTTTTCAGTACAGGTGAAAATTTACAGGAGTATGCAAAGGTATTGCTGATATTAGCCAGTTTGTTTGTTTAATTTATAGCCAAATTCTTAGATATTTCACTGCCATCTAATTCCAAAATAAAGACAAAAGTGTTACTTTTCTAGTGTTCATCTTTGCTCCCGACCTTAGTTTGCTTCATTTTCTGGCTTCTCCATGGTTTTGAATACATCTCTGTCTGATGGCCAGCCTTCCCTCATTGACCATAACCACACCATGTCTCATTTGGCATCTGAAAAATCAATATTACTCAAACTCTTCCGTTTCCTCACCAGTCACGTCCCACACTTCTGAGTCAATCTGAGTTAAAGGACAATGAGATTCCATTTGTAAAAATACAAAAAAATAACAAGCATATTCCCGTGTTCCACAAAGTAGACAAAACTCTTGAGGGGGGAAAAATGAGAAAAGAAGAAAATGTTTTCTTCTCCCCTTTTAATTTTTTTTCATACTGCTGCTGACATGTGTCCTGTTCTTCCAAGACCAACTTTTTCACAAATTACATTCCAAATCTCAACATTGAATATGGCCTAAATAATGGCAGCTATCAGTCTTTTCAGTTACAACATGAGCTCAAATTCAGCACTGAGATTTCACCTGACAGAGCAGAAGACACTTTTTAAATGCTGGGGCGGCTGCACTAACGTTTTTGCGAGATAAGGAGCGATGAGTGAACAAGGCAATACTGGCCGTTTTACATTGTGTGGGAATTTTTTTCCTACCTATCAGAGGATGTGGAGGTTGCTGTTATCTGTGCACAATAACATCCTGATGTGTGTAGTGTAATGTTCCCTCCAAAGGGAATCTTACAGAAATAACTGGACTACGACAAAGATAAAGAGCTAGCAGGGGGCAGTGAGAGGGTAGCAAGTTCAGCTCCACATCTGCAGTTTCCACAACCTTGAGTGGGATAACTTCTAGAGCTGGCAGACATGCTGTTTATCTTCATCAGCTGGATGGGGGAAGCCAGGGCCAAGTTATAACAGAGCCCTTTGTCCCCATTGCCATGTTGTAGCTGCAGTCTTTGGCTGGCAGGTTGTAGGTTAACCTGCTTGCAATAACTTCACTGAAAACTGTAGTATCCCGAAGGAGGGCAAAACTAGCAAAACACTGGCTTCCATCAATCACACAAGACATTTGATGGTGTTCTGCAGTACAGTGGCAGGCAGTTCAAGTTCAGTTCCTTATACATACTTGTATGTACTCTATTGTGATGGATTTGAACAGATATATGCACAATTTTCATATGTATAATTAATAAACCTTGCAGAACAAGGTTCTTAAGAATATTTCTAATTTAGGAGGTTTAACTAAGCAGTAGTATTTTCTTTTTAAAGAAAATTAATTGCACTTTCCTCAGCCAACAAAAACAAAGATACAAACATCTTGCATACTGAACAAAGCCCACCTGCCACTGATCGTAAGAGCATCATCCCAACACTGCAGTACTAAAGAATGGGAATATCAGTCAGCAAAAGCATTTCAGCTCCTTCAGGTTACATATGATGTCACGGACAGATAAAGTATGAAGAATGTATAACTACAAAAGTTTGGTATATGTTAATACAAATAGAAGTACAGTATTAAAAACATAAGGGAGAAAAAAAGGCTTCACCCCAAAAAAAGACGAGTGAATCCAGGTCACAGGCATGTTTCTTCTTTTTCTGGAGAGAAATTTCAGTTAAGCCCCAACATGTGCCCTTAACAGCTGCTCTTGTTCTTCTTGCGTGCGCTTTACAGGCACAATCTGGTTTGAAGCTGCCCAACACATCAGAATAATACACTTTCAGTCACTGCTCTTCCTTTGTTGTAGGCTGCTCCCTGCGGTACATTATAATCTCAACACTCTTTCCTGGTAAGATGCTGTGGGAAATAAGAACCTGGATTCAGGTAAAGGATACCAAGCTACCACTATATATGAAATCCCTACTGAATAGAAAGGCCTAACATGACCACCATTAGACCAGTGCCCATAAACTGCAGCCTTCAGACTATACTGACAGCCCAGTAAGTCAATCTTGCTGTCAACGACAATAGTAAAATAATCAGGTGCTGAGCTCTGTGAACCTTAACATAAGAGTTGAGATCAGGAAATATTTAATGAATGAGATAGCAAATCCACAGAGTGAAGCTGAAGAAATCGCACACATAGTAAGGGATTTGCACCTGGTGATTAATTACCGGCACACGTTTAGATATGCAACTGCTAACAAAACTAGACAAAAGACAGATACTGGAAAGGCTTCTTAATTCTCTGCAGAGAATGCAAAAGCAATGCCTCTTCATCTTGAATATCAGGAATGATTTTTCTCTTTGTTTCTATTCCTCACTGAGAAAAAAAAATTGACCTAATTAGCGAGGGAAACTTTAAATGCTTTCATATGTGGAGCTTGATACTGTTAACAGTCACCAAGCTCCAGTATGAGAAAAACTGGAGTATTATTTATGGATTACTGAAAACAATGTGAATTGCATTGATGCCATAACTTTCAAGACCACAGGTATACATGTAAAGAAAATAAAACCTAGTCTGGTAAAGATTTTAAATGACATTTATATCGAAGGCTCTGGAGGGATGGAAATAGTCAAGTTCAATGAGCCTGAGTGGTCATACACTCCTGATGCCATTACCTCACCTGAACATTATTAATACTGTACCTAATCCCCTCCTCTCCCTCGCATCTCTGCTCCAGCCCATCTCCACCCCTGCAGAGTGAGGAGTGACCAAGGGGCAGCTGCAGGGCTGTTTCAGCCCCCTTGTCCACTGGCCAGGAGGTGAGCCAAATTTATTGTGAAAAAGCACGCAAACACCTTCCAAATGCTTGGGTGTGGTTATTCTTAGTGAAAAGTTCATTTCACTCTTCTACAATTAAGGCACATGTGCAAATCTGTAACTCTACCACATTACACAAAGACATACAGACCAAAATGCATATTAATATTATCTTCAACTACTTCTGTATCTGTGGTTGCAAGACCTACGTAAGAAGAATTAATTTGCTAGAGAACAAACATGCAGAAACTAGTTACCTCCACACCTCTAGACACAAACTGCCACAAGCACTCTGCGCATTGTGGACAGGAACTATAAAAAAGGGAAAAACAATCTCAAATTTCTCTTTACCACCAAAGCAAAGCATTTTGAACTTTTTTCTTTTCATTTTTATTTTACCCTCTTATCTGCCATAATACATTGGAAGCAGACATAACATGTCATATGACACAAATGTAGAATTACGTACTGGCCAGACCATTGATCCGGTATTTCGATATGATGTGTTGATATTTACACAGTACATTTTTGTAAAGCAAGAGCTACATCAATCATACATATTAGAAACAATAAAAAAAATAGAACTAAAAATGTACATCATACACTTGATATATTTTTTTTGCTTTTTACAGAGGTAAAAATGCTTATTGTAAAAAACAAAACTAATCAATACAACAGGGTTTATTTTATTTTGTTTTAGTATATAAGGAGATAGTAGATGTTCAGTATGCTTCAGGCACTTTCTTTAAATATTTAAATGTGTGCATTAGCTAAACTGTGCACCAAACAGATGAAGATGCTTCTGGTTAACTTCCCTACCACAGATACAAAAATAAAATTTAATTTTTCTCTAACAATGTCTGATGCCAGTATTGCAAAGCTGACTAGGATGACAATACACATCGGAGACCTTGGGAGAGGGAGACGATGAGAACGTTATATACAAAAATCCATCCACCTGTTTTCCTACTTTTCCATTACAATTTCAATGACCAGAAAGTGAGTACACTGAGAACTTTCAATACCTATCGATTTACACCAGGACAAAGAAACCTTAAGTGCATACCAACGTATGCATGACAAGAAGTTTGGGGCACTTCATAGTGACTTGCACAATATTTATTAAACTTTGTATTAGTGTTGTGCTTCTTACAAAGATAAAACCTTACAGGTTGTCCTACATGTAAGGTCATAGGGTAGTATTAACTTTGAGGCTGGTTTGTGTTTCTATTAAACATATTGCATGCACATATATATATGCATGTATATATATATGCACACATACATAGTCTATATACAAATTTCAATGTCACCCTTATTGATTAGCTATTCTAGACTAATTTCATCCCTTTCTTTTGTAACCAATATTTAAGCCTAACACCAAAAGCAGCAAAAAGCTAAAGAATAGGGTTACAAAATGAGCCAAAGAGCTCAACCTTGCAGCTAAATATCTGTATACAAATGTAAAACTGGTACAGTTATGTAAATCAAAGGCTGACAAGTAATTCTCTATGCATGATTTTCGAAGGGGCGGGTGTTCTCTCCTGCTTTCAGACCATTTTAATGGACAATGGGCATTGTTGCCATTGGCAATCCCTACAGAAAGCAGAATTAGCAGGAACAGCCCCACTGACTTTGACAGACCACTGGTAGCTGCATAAGAACTTCAGATTGTACTATGCCATTAGCTATAATTGCTATTTTTAATTTAAAAAATTTGGACATTTATTGAAATATATTACAAAAATACTCTTTTCAAGCTAATTACAAGCTTTGAATATGGGTAAAATAAAACTGTGTTGCTCTCTCGGATATATTGATAAAGGTTAATCAGTGAAGACTCACCACACCAATGGAAGAGCTTCATGTAGCTTGTACCACATATTAAGTTAACTTTTATGTGGGGAAAACGTAGAAGACGAAGTTGTATTTTGAATACATTCAAGACATGTTTTACATCTTTATTTTGGGGGGGCGTGTAGAAAAATGCATTCAAAATAATTTGGCAAAATGACATGAAAATAATAACCCCTCATAATCAGACAACCAAGATTTTGAAATCTTTTTAAGATAATGCTGTTAAACAATGGAAAGGTCACAGTCTTTTTTTTCCATCACAAAACTGCCTCACACCACCTTAAATGGGTTAATATTTTTAGGTTTGCACAGATTGTGTTTCCGAACATGGGCTCAATTTTTGAATAAAAAACAAATCGTAGTGTTTTCGTTTTTTTCATTATAACAATAAAGCACCTTTAATACTACAAGTGATGATTAACCTTTACTCCAGCTGCTCACATTTTCATATTCATGAGTGTGCTTATGTTATGGGACAATATTATTTTCCCCCATTCCCTATGGCTGGCATTTCAATTCAAAGGAAAAAAAGCCTGTTGATTTCTTTAGACATTAAACATTACAACTTAAAACACCTATTACTTACTCTCAAAACAATAAAAGGTTAGCCTGCTTAGGATCAATTATTAAAGATGTTCTGCGAATTACAAACGGTGGACGTCTATATTTAAGCTGCTTAGGTTGCAATTTCGGCTTCAATTTAGTAACAAATACTATGCTGTGACACACCACTACCATTCCATTTCACCTTCCTAACAAGCGCACACGGCGAATGCACATGCACACACAGAAATGCACGCATACACTCCACGTCTGGGTGAATCGGGTGTTTTTTTTTTTAGGGAGGGGGATATACGCCAGTTAACTGCCGATAACCTTTGCTCGCAAAAGGAGAAATGAGGGATCTTCATTTGGCAAGCTAGAGCAAAAGCACCAAACTAAAACTCTGCTCACATCAACCACACGCAACATAAAAAATTCAAGTTCTTAAAACAAATCAGTGTAAAAATATAAAGTACCTGTTACATATAAATGAGTAATCATTGGTTAGTCCTTTATAATGCATGACTTGTGACGCTAGAGGCCCAAACAGACGGAGGTTTCCATTTGCCAGAGGCTGGAGAAAAATCCACTTGGAGGGGAAACAAATTCTTCAAGCCACCGTGTGCCTTTTATATCGCCCCCCCCCCCCATCTGGAAATTCAGAAGAAAGAAAACACAGAGCTTATCACCCCACTGCTTTATGCTTCCCACCACAACAGCGGCACGCCATCCCACACTGGTAGCACGCCCGCAGTGGCAGGTAACAGCACATACATGGTGCCAGGAAGGACAGCGCCACCAGGGCCAGCCAGCGCAGACAGAACCTGTCGTCGCTGGTGTCGCAGGAGCACGGGTCCGAGTAGTCCCCTTCGGGGTCAGACATGCAGTGGTAAAGCATGCTGTCTGCGCACCACATGAAGCTGACCCTATGGATGCAGGTTCGAATAGGGTCAGGGGCGTCCTGGCACTGGCCTCTCCCGTTCTCCTCGTGGTTGAACATGTCCCTGCAGTACACGCACCTTGACCTCTCGCCATCCTCCTTCCGCCTCCTGGCCTTGGACTTGAAAGATCGGGGCTGAGTGTTCACCACCCCACCACCCCCGCTGCCCTTCAGCTCCTTGTGGCCAAAGTCAGAGTTGGGGACGTAGGGGTAGTTGTAATCGTGCTTTGAGGCGTCGCTTTTGGCAAAATGTACGTAGGAGTCGACCTCCTCGGGGTCAATGAACTTCTCCCGCACGGCCGCATGCCTGTAGTCCTCATAGCCCGTCAGCCAGGTCTTCTCCCGAGGATTGATCCGGACAATCTCCTCGTCATCGTCTTGGAAACTGACGTGACGGGGCAGCTTGGGCACGGACTAGCAAGAGGAAGAAAATCGGTCAATTGACAGAAAACATCTCAGCACCGTGAATGTAAATGGTTTCTAAGGGTAACCAATGTTGCTGGAACTTAAGTCCTAGTCAACAGGAAGGCAACGAACTTGTAAACATGTACAATTCTGTACATTCTTTTTTAATTGTGCAGGTACCACTGAGCAAGAAACAAAACAAGACGCTGAAGCACATAAATTCTGTGGTTCCTTTTGGGGTTTGAAAGAAATGCCTGTGCTTTTCAAGTTAATTTTACTGTGAACAGACCAGTCCCTTCCTTTTAAAAAAGAGCATGTCATTGTACCAGAACTCCCCACAGATCAAAGGGAAGACCCCACAGCTTGATGAACGCATACAAAGAGCCCGAGTCTATACACAAGAAATCAGAACACAACCGACAGCAGATTGAAACATTCAGTAAACATCCTGGTGTACAATGGCAGGCGCCCCTGCTCGTCGGACTGACGAGACTGACCTGATCCAGAAGGTAGTGATCTGGAGGGCTGTAATGGTCGTGCAAGTGGCCCAGGATACAGCGATGTCTGCGGGTTTCACAGAAGTTAGGGGAGGCTAGCGCCTGCATAGAGTGATCCTTCTTTTGGGAAGAGTTCGAAGAACTATCTGTAGCGTTCTTTATTGATGGGGCGAAACAAATGCACATCATTACAATATTATAACAAAATCATAATTCAGCTTCAAGTTATCTAACAAGAGTCCTCTGCAATTTCTAAATGCTGAGATTTGGAAAAGCAGAAAATGTCTTAACTTGCATTGCATAATAATCAGCCAGAATGACTGTCTCTTTGGATGAAACTACAAGCTGTACATCTAATGGAACCTAATCTAATTGGACTTCCAAGTCATACTAAGGGAACATGACTGGTAATCTGACCATGTGCTTTTGTGGATGGAAAGAACCTGAGGGGATGTGGCCACAGAAAAAAGAGGGTCAAAGAAATGATATTAAAATACACTCAAATCTGTTACGGCAGCACTTGACAGACAATCCTAAATCTATTAAACAGGATAATGTTCTTTCACACAATATTCCAAACCTCACCTTGTCCTATCAAAAGAGATCCTCTACATTAGGAATGGTTTGCACCATTATAATATAAATTAGCTCTGAATTAATTACTTGTCATTTGCTGTATTTATCTCATCCATAATTTATACTTAAAGACTAAAGAATTGAAATACTACATATCTGGTAGGGTGAGTGGGGTGAATTCAGCATTCAGTAACTTACAAAACCTTAACCATGGCTGTTATTCTGTTAGGAATTTATTGAAATCAGTGAGCTGCATCACCAGCAAGGCAGCCATAGAATTTGATTAAGATCTCGTTGTGCACCACGATGAAATCCGCTGACATTATTTATGAAAAGCCTGTGAACCAAAGCTGTAACTCTTTGGTGAAACAAGGTCTCACTCTCATACCTCATGGTGGACAAAACTTTTTCAATCCACTATAATATATACGTAAATGCAGGTGGCACTCTTCCTACTGGATCAGAAATTCTAGTCCAATAAACCAGTATGTGACTTTAAGAGGTGCTGTCTTTTTGATTATACTTTAAAAATGTCCTGACTACACTAAGTCATTAACAATCCTAATACACCCATTGTAAGTTGTGTAAACGTTTTAAAACAAAACTGCATCTGCAAAGTCTGACCTCAAATACATTGTTGTTCCTCCCTCAAACAAGGCCTACTTCATCTAATACTTGTATTACATGGCCAAATAAATAATGAAGTCTCTCTCTTTCATTAGAATAGGCAACAAAAGTCCTGTCCTTCAATAACTGCAAGCAATATGTTCCGGAAACAAAGATAGTTTTGATGTGTAGTGGCGCCAGCCTATTTGGCAGTGCCAGTCTTTCTGTGCCAGGTGGAAGTGAGACTTCGGGCACTGAAGTGGTGTTATTGAAGTCAAGGGTGAAATGAAGCAAGAACTGCCAGTCTCTTATCTCCCTCTGGGTCTCCTTTCCAATGACGGGTTTATTTCGAACACAGCTGCGTCATTTAAGGCACTCTACCTGCACTGGAAAATAAACCTCTTTTGTCTGGTCTTTCTCAGGCAAGCTACATTGTCCCTCCCCACCAAACAAAAAAACACAAAACACGTGTACTACTCTGAATTCAGCCGTGAGGTGAGGAAAAATAAAATAGGTTGAAACCTTAACTAACCCTCCTGCCCCCTCCACACATACTTCTCATTTACACTTAACACCATCAGTTCAAGTGCCATGAGTATTCAGGAAACTTCGACTAAAGCCAGAGCACTGCAGTTATTTATACTATAAGAAAAACAGCCCTGTTTTAGTTGGGGTATGAAGACCTTTCCTGCAATGCAATTAACACCTTCATTACTGTGCTCGAGTTCTGGAGTACACAGCTGGTCAGAAAGGGTTGGTAGACCAGATCGCTACACCTAATGGTTTTAAGGTGGCTTTCTACCTTACTTTTTAATGCTCTGTTACAACACACAGCTGCCCTAATCTGTCCCTGCATGTTATGGTACAATACAGTTTAGCTTCTATAAAACACTACAGTATGTGGTCCCCAGCACCAGTACCAGGCGACTTTGATCTGGTCATCACACATTAAACAAAATAAAGTTCAAAGTAGAGCTGCAGACCATAGTGTCTTGTAACTAAGGAGTTAAAGAGCACTGTTCTCATGCTGCAGAAGCATCTAATCCTAGACGTGGAGGGTCATAGGTCAGCACATTTTATAGTCTCTTTAAATCTTAGGACCCAGTGAAGCTGTGAAAATGGTCCAGTTTAAACAATAATTGGTAGAATTGTTTATGAACTGGGTGGAACTGGGAAATTAAGAGAAAAGTTAGAATGAAAACCGTCAGACAAAGTGACCATCCAGGGGTGAGTCTGGACAAATTAGTCTCAAAATAGGCAACCTTTAACAGTGTTCAAAGCCTGCATATGGAATACGATGAAAGTCCAAAACGTCCACTGATGTTCGTGCATCCTAAGACCTGTCACTTGGTTATATATGCTTATAAAATCTCAAAAAGTAAAATATCAAAATGTATTCTTTCAGTACAGCTCCATGTCTGGAGCTGCCATGAGTTTTGAAAGTGTCATAAACACAAGCAACCTGGGATGTACTGCCCAGAAGGTTTTGATACTCTTTTTTTACATGTGCCTATGAAGACTTTAGAACAGAGAGCCAAAAATAATACAGGCCTCCCTCCCAGCATTGCCAAAAGCTTAAGCCAACATGATTTAAAAATATGTTGAGAAGGATAACCGGGTCCGTCTGCTAAAGATAATTAAAAGCACAGACCCTTTCAAATGTTTACACTGAAAGCAGTATAAAATAATAGATCTGAGGTTTAATAATAGGCGATTGTAACAGGAAAGAAAAATTAAAATTCTTTGGAATTTTTCAGAGTAGAGATAAGTGCGACTTCAAAGGGGTTTTACTGTAACACTTATTTGAAGATGACTTTTTGTAGCATTGGGTTTATTCTAAACTACATGAATCGTAAACTTTTTCAAAGTGAGACATGGCCAACAAAAAGTGCTGATGGGTCATTTCAGGACTCAAATATTTTTGCAACTGCACAAAATGCCCTGTATCAGCATAATTGCACTATGCCGTACATCCTATAGTGTTGGAGGAAAGCAATTGCATGTTCTGTAATTAACAAAAAACTGTGTTTTGTTTTCTTTCAAAAAGAACCATTGCCCGATAAGTGCACATTTCAGCTTAATAATAATGATTCCTTACACTTACATAGTGCTTTTCTGGACACTCCAGACAAAGCCTTTTCCAGGTAATGGGGACTCCCCTCCACCACCACCGATGTGTGGCCCCACCTGGATGATTTGACTGCAAACCTAGTCCACCAGAACGCTCACCACACATCAGCTCTCAGTGGGGAGGAGAACAGAGTGATGAAGCCGATTCATAGAAGGAGATTTTTAGGAGGCCATCATTGGTAAAGGCCAATTGGAAATTCGTCCAGGAAGCCGGGGTAACACCCCTATGCTTTTCGAGAAATGACCTGGGATTTTTAATGACCACAGAGAGTCAGGACCTTGGTTTTACGAAGGACGGCAACGTTTTGTGTGGAGCATTAGGATCCACACAGACAGCTAGGTGAGCACCCCCTACTGGCCCCACTAACACCTCTTCCAGCAGCAACCTTAGCTTTCCCAGAAGGTCTCCCATCCAGGTATTGACCAGGCTCACATCTGCTGAGCTTCAGTGGTTTGGCAGTTGTAAGATGCAGGATGATATGGCTACTAATCTTGGGATTAACCAGGCACGGAATGTAGAATGTGAATGCTTTCAGGTTGTCTATATACACCAAAACAGATGCTTCCACTGCAGAACTTAGAGTTATACAACCATTTATGCATTTGTATAATATTAAATACGATACAAATGAGGAGGCCATTCATCCCATCTACCCAGTGACGAAAATTATTAAACGAAACAAATAAAACATAAGTAAAACTGATTAAACTTAAGCAAAAATAAATGATCTGTGCCACTAATTAAGGCTTCATAACATAATGAATGAAGATCAGTGTACTGGTTTGAAATGTCTGACATTTAGTTATGGAAGAGAAATTGAAGAAGGCTGTCGTACGTTTACAAAGCACGTCAAATTATATAATCTCACTCACTTTAAAACAAAGCTGTGCTGATAAAACGAACCTGTCAGACAGAACACGACAAAGAATTCCAGAAAAAAATTCCCTGAGCGTAATTTGGAGAAGGTACATGGACAGTGGGATAATACATGTCAAAAACTAATTGTCTGATGTGTTTGTGACTTTGTCACAAAAATTGGAACTCTGTAATTGATGCAACTGTAAGTTAACAAAGAAGGTGGCATTTGATGTTTTCGAATTTGCCAAAATAGCAATTACATACAAAGAACAGAACCCTGTAGGTCCTAAACAGAAAAACAGGCCCTAAAAGGGGTAATTAAAGAGCACATTTCTACAGTGTGGACTTGCCGTAACTGTCATCTGGGGATTTGTTTTCTGGTATGAGTTACTCCTCCCTGCTTTGACAGGGCTCTGAAGAAACGTTCCAAAACCTTGATTTGAAAAAATGTGGAAGCACTGCATCACCAGAGGGAATAAATAAATATTAAGAAATAAAAGCAATATTAACAACCGTGTAATTCATGAAAGTACAACTGCGCTTTTACAAAAAAGTACACTCAGCTATGTAAACATTTCAGCAGCAATAGATTAATGTCAATCCTGTTCCCAAGATTGAATATCCTGTGGAAATTACAAGCTAACTCTTCTAAAGCAGGAGTTTAAAAAAGAAAAAAAAAAAGTTGTCTGCCCTTGGGCTCTGATTAAACTCCTTCCTGTCACCAATAAGACAGATGGTCTGAACCAGCCAGGGGAGGTGGGGAACTGGGAGTTTTGAAAAGCAAGGGTGCACAAAAACCAGGCATGGCTCTCTTCAGGGCTGTTGATTTCAGATCCCACTTCCTCCCAGCATGTTCCTCAGGCCTTGCTCTGCGCGTGGTGTTATTCTCCGCAAGGCAATTCCCTGATCCTTTTTCAGTGCTAACAGGAAGTTGTCAATCATCTCCCTGTCACCCGGCCAATGCTGCCTCTTTCTTGAACAACATAATGTTTACAAGCTGAGCCGGGCCTGTTCTGCATGTAGCCGCCAAGAGCTCAGAACACAAAAACCATTCCAGAGGCAGAAAACAGCCCCTGCTTTGTGGAGAGTTTTTTTTTTGTTTTCCTCGAAGGCCTAAATGCGGGTAAGAGGTGATTTTCTATAGGCCGCTGCACATCGAAGACTCCAAGATATTTGACAAAGTAGAATTACCTGTCTGAACCACTTAGGTTCTACCCATACAGCTGTGCAACACTCAATCCAGGGCTTTCATGTTTTGTACGTTTTGTTTTTTAACTTATTTTTTTTTATACCCCAATTGCATGGGGAAGGAGAAAAAACAATTACAGAAGAATACTGGCCACAGACATCTTCCAGAGATACATGACCTATTACACTGCTGTAGGAGAAAAGCGGGGGAGAAAACTGCTTAGACAAGGAACATGAAACATCACGTCATCTGAGTGACGTCATCAATAACGTGTCCCAGGCCACAAATGCCGTGAAAGGCCGAGTGCAGCCGAACTGTGAACCTTCCCAGAACCAAAATATCATCTAAATATCTGAACCAAAAACAGAAAAAGAAACAGTTGGCTCTATCCAACTCCACAGAAGTCATCTCAGCTGCTAAGAAAACTCACTCGCCGAGCACTGGCAGTGTTACATCAGAGTAAGTTCTGTGTTTTTTAAGCAGGATTGTACAAGTCACGCAAACAAACTTGCCTATATGCAGTGGTGCAGGATACGTCGATGTAAAAATGAATCACGTGTGGGTACAAAGAAAGGTGGGGGCACCTTCCGCGGCGATGAAGTTTATTTTTGGAAATCATGAAACCCAACTAACCTCACGTATTACTACCTATCAGGAGTGGCTACTTGCTGGAGGAAAGCCTGCAGTAAAATAAACAATTATCATTGTCAGTATAAAAGCCTTTGCAGCACTGTTATGCTGCATTTCTGCTGCTGGGCTGAGACAGAACTGCTAAAGTCCCGATGACTCATGTAAAGATCTCGACTGTGGAAATTAGGGCTATTCAAAATATGTGACATAACACTGCTGTTAGAGCTGTACCAGCATTTTGATGGTAACTTTTAAGGAGGAACAGATTTATTGACATTTTCAGCACTTTTTACATTTGTTTGCGTGATAAACCTTATGTGTGGTTTCATATAGTTCAGTATTCTACTGAACAGTGCCAGAATTAGGATGCAACAAAACTGAACTATTCACAACAATAAAATACTTGCATTCTTGGAATTAAAGAGGTTTTATTTCCATAGTGCGAGGAAACCGATGTTGAGTATTTGCACATTTTAGTTAACAAAAAAACATCTAATCTCAATAAAGTGTAAATTGAAGGGATTATAAGTGCTTTTGCACTGCCAGAAAAAAACTAAATAAATGAATGTGTAACTCAGAACACTGTCTCTATCCTAGATGGGCATAAAGAGTTATGTGGGTCAAAGAAATCAAACTATTATATAGATATTCTACCTTTTCTATTTTTCTTTAAAACAAGATCAAAAATGGGCATTACAATAATTACAAGCCACCCATAATGCATCACTAACATTTTATAGCAAAAGTAATGAGTGTAATAAACATATAGGAAGTGCTATAATTATAATGTGGAATACCCAGACAGAAAACTCAAGATTTACATATTGAAATATTCAGACTTTTTTTGCTAAGCAGTGTGGGAGAACAGGTTCAACCTGAAAATAAGTAAGATGTTCAACATTCGAGTCATATTTCACATGCAAGGATAGAGTAACGCAAACATTTTAGCTTTTAGATGTTAATGAAAATGCCATTTTAAACTGTTAAATAAAAACTACCTTTCAACAACTAGTCAACTGGGAACACCACAGATTGTCAGTGTCCCTCAACAACTGAACTTAAGTACTCGCAAGGGTTAAGTATGGGCTGTGTTATCTGGAACAGTTCAGAAGTAATGTACCCTCCCTGCCTCAGAAGCTGTAAATCCAGAACAGCATTGCTGCTGTCTGCAGTGACTTGACTTGTGCAGGGAATTTCAGGAAAGGTCACTTCCATGGCTTCGGAAGACCCAGTTTTCCAGCCAGCAATGATAGGCATGAAAGCCACTACCCCACTGCCTCTGCATAACGTAACTTCCATCCAACACGGGATTATACGAGATGAAGCACAAATTTAAAAGCAATAAGGTCGAAATAATTCATTTATCTAGGCTCAAACATGAGGCTGTACAATATACACCTCATAGGTTTATTCCATGCTGAAAAAAAGAAGAAAGAGAACACAACGTTTCGGCCGTGGAGCCTCTTTTGTTCACACTGCCCTAAAACTGGGATGCAGCTTAATTTCATTTGAATTGCACACGAAGCATTCTCCTCCTAAAGAATTATATAAAACTTTGAAAACAAGACAACCATAATCTACTGTCTTTCCAAGATTCTAGCAGTTTCATCCTAATAGTTATCTAAAATGAATATCTACTCTGTAGAGTACCTGGTCATTATAGTGAGACAACTACCAATATCCCAGGCAACATAACATATCACCACAGAAATCCTGTATAGAATTACTGTTTTGTCCATCTTCCAGTAAGAGGCTGTAGGGTTACACAAAGTATCCAAGCTACAGAGTGTTAAGAAAAAGTACACCTTTAATAACAAACAGAATTCCTGCAAATCTAAAGTGTCAAAGTCTTAAAGAAAACGACAGTTGTCAATAATATGAAAGTGGATTCCTCTTGTACTAAACCAATCAATACTCCGCCAAGTGTCACCAAGTCCCTGACAGACCTGATGACACAGATGCGTACTTATGGAGCAACGCAAAGCCATGACAGCCTGAAACGGCTGCACATTCTTACACCGAGAGTGCTGTCTTCTCAATATTTTCTGGTTGTGCCACGAGAGGTGACCAGCTCTGTCTGAGCTTATGTGACTCCTCTAAAGATTGTTTGTCAAGAGTAAACCATTAGCTCTATGGGCAGGCTTCCCTTTTTCCCTATGCACCAATAAATCACCCTGGCAGGCAGCTGGGAAACAGCTGCTAATGATAGCTTTACTGTGGAGTACAGGAAATCACCTTTTAACCCAGCCTGCTGTTGTTCATCTCCTATGACTGTGACAAAAGAACGGAAACAAATGAAATGCCAAGTGTCGGGAGAGTCTGGTCAAAACACTACAGGAAACCTGGCTGGCCTCTTATCACACTGACAATCTCAAGAAAACAAAGGGACATCTCTTCCAACTAGACTCTGAACAAAAATAACAACAAAAGCTTCTGCACTTCTGGCAAACTTCACATGTACGTCAAAATACTTCAAATGAAAAATAAACAGAAAAATAGAACGGTTAAAAAAACAACAAAGCTGTGAGGAAACATTCAAATAAAGTAAAAATATTCAAGGGAAACTGTGACTTAAGGCAGGATAAGCGGTTCGTTCAGAGACAGGAGACCAACTGCACATATGAGGAGTTTACCAGTAGTGATTCACTAAGGATGTCCTGAACTGAAAAGGCTGAGCTCTACATTAGTGTTGAAACTTACTGTGAACACATCATCATCTCCAACCTCAGTCTCATTCTGGATTGTCGAAGAGGAGGTTGTGGATCCTAAGAAGAAAATGGAAGAAAACAACTCAATATTAAGAGCTTTTGGTAGTTAAATTGCTGAATGAATTATTGCTACTGAAGGCAGAATTAGTATGCAATTCATCTGCTTCTTCCAGCTCTGTCCTTTCAGTTACACTGGCTTGTTTCACTACAAAAAGCATGAAAAATATTGACAAAAAGTAGTTTGCTCTAATGAAAAAAAAACATGCATGGAATTCCATGACAGCTGAGCAAACCTATAGACTTGCTTGGACCATATAAAATACAACACCATAGACAATAAAAAAGACAACTATGATCAAACCCACTATTACAGTATCACACCATTACAGAGGTACAATTTCATTCAAAAAGTTATTCTACACAAAAAAGCAAACATATAGCACTATTATGAGCGTACAACAGAACTTAAGTCCTACCCTGATAAGGACATGGTATGGATAAATGTTTTAGGTAGACTGAACATGTATTACTACTTCTAAATGTGTTGCTATCCAGTACAGTCAAGAAAGAAAAAGGTCTGAAGAACGTCTTTGAAAAACAGTTTGTTATTCACTCAGGGAAATGGCCTCCAGTTTGAAGCCTTGTGTTTCTACTTACAAGTGTCTTGAAGGCATAAATCATGGTTATGTTGCGATTGGCTCAAAAGGCGAAATGAAGAACAGAACAGCTACGGGATTTGGCTTTAAACCCACGTAAATGGGTCAAAGAAAGAAACAGCAATGGAATTAAATCCACTAATGATTTTCTGGTAATGGAATACATACTCACACATACAAGATGATGTGCTGGTTAAATCAGAAACAGACAAAAAAGGGCCTCAATGTAACTGAAAAGAAAGTGTATGAAGCAGTAATGATCCTTGAACAATCAAAGGAGGAAAAACCCCCCCACTGATTTCTGGTATAAAATTGTTTTAATGTATGTCACTCTGAGACGAACAGAACGGGCGATGTGAAAAGGTGAAAGGTTAATTGCACATGGCTCCGAATGGTCAGAAAATTGCATCTTGCTGTCTACACCATTTAGCCCACATACTGAACATCTGAGATCTAGGTTTCTTCTAAGAAAAAGAGACATTGCTCAGGAGGTGGAAACTGAGGTGTACAGAGTTTTGGTTTAATCCACAAAGAAACTGCAAATGTAAATTTATTATCAGAAGGAAGGTAAGATGCAGCATCCCTGTAATGCCTTCTATGGGTTTGATTGACATGTTACAAAAAAGGTACAAATGACAACAAAAGCCCTAAAAATACACCGATGGCTTCAACTATGGCAATGAATGAAAATTTCAGTTTTAATTTACGTCATCAAATCATGTTAAAATAAATGAATCTGCATAAATAAAAGAATTAACAAAGGATGTTTACAAAAAATGTATTAGCTATACTAAAACTATTGACAGGCGGGAAAAGAAGTGTTAGCTTTCAAAAGGATAAGGAAATGTGCTATATAAAAAATAGACCTGGTCAAAAGGGTCTATTACAGTAGTAAGTGCAGGAAGTGACAAGATGCAACATTGAATGAAGTTTAAACCGAACTCTGTTAAGAGCTGTAGAAGTAAATTCATAACATTTAGTAAATTCTGTAATCAAATTTTCAGCATTTTCCTTCTTAATGAGATTTGACTGATTCCCCCAAAGACTGAAACAAAACACGGATATATTTGACAATGTCAGAACCCTAGTATTTTCATTCAATAAAACACCTGAGGAGCTCTCTCAAGCAGAATACCTTCAGTCAGGTCTTCGATGGCTTTCCGTACGCCTCTGTCAAACGCTCGAGCATCTGCGGGACTTTGAAAAGTCAGTCCACATTTTTTGTTGTCGACTTTCCAGTGGTGAAACGTCGGAGTTGCCTTGGTGTATATCAGATCTTTCTTCAAGAAACACTCAAGAATTACCTGAAAGAAAACAGAGCAAGATGAGGTTCCCTCCCCCCAAAAAATATTTCCGAAAACATGCAAGTACCAACAGAAATTACATTTAAATTATCCAAAAAGCCTGAACAACCTATTTTTTTCTGCCCGTCCGTCAAAACACTTTCAGTCTTAATGGGCTAGATTATCTTTTGAGAACAGACTTCTAATAGAGCAAAGTAATATTCAATGATTTTGTTTCAAGGAAATACTCCATCACTATGTGTGAAATAACGTTCTTATTTTGACAGTCTTCAATAGACTGAAGCTCTTGGGGAATGGTCCTAAGCACTTTAGAAAAAAATCCACAGATTTATTTTTCTTCCTTTCCTAAGTCCCCTTGTTTTAGGGGACAACATGAATAATTTCAGTGAAGTGCTACCCAACAAAGACATTCCCTGACAGGATGAGGGTCCACAATATCCAGGTTAAAATGAACACATAATGTATTGTGTATTAATTAATGGCACAATTTCCTCAGGAAAATAAAAACAAAACTTCAAGATAACACAGGACTTAAATATATTTTGCCAGGTTCCATGGCAGCTTTTTGAAGATTAATGAGCCTTCTTCGATTATAGCATAATTGAGAAACTGAAGCGCTGTTCGATTTGAGTTCAGCACTGTACCTCTCACTGACCTTGGAAAATGATCTACATAAGATAAGAAGGGTTACAGAAAAGAGAAGGCCATTTGGTTCACCTAGCTCATTTGATAGTAGCTAATTGATCCAAGGATCTCATCCAGCCATTTCTTGAAAGAAGCCATGATATCGGCTTCAGCAACATGGCTGGTAGGTTGCTCCATACTCTCACAACCCTTTGCAAGAAGTGCCTCTGTTTCAAATGCATTTCCATGTAGTTTCCTTTTCTTTGGTCCTGTATATTGTACAGTGTCTGGGACACCAGGGACAGACAAACTCCCAGTCAGCCAGCCAGAAAGAGACTGGTAATCTCTCAATTGTGGGATTCATCCTGCATACCAGGTGGTGTCTTTTAAAGATGAGTCATGCTGTGTTCTGTTTTACAAACGGTGGGACCCCAGTGTCTGTTAGAAAATCTTCAAAGTCTGTGACCAGCTGTCTTTACGGCGAGAAGATTGGTCTTTGATATAAGCCTACTCAAGGCAAAGGGTGTTTTTTTTTATTTTTATTTTGAGACAGGCACGTCTCAAAATTTCTATTAGAAATGGAAGACACGGCCATCAGTACCTGCTTGTCTTTAAGGCGCTCGCCGTGAATAAGGAAGCCGCTCTTCCCGCCCAGCTCCGAGTGAATAACCTTACAGACGCCAACTCTGCTCAGACCACCGCCTTCCTGTGCAAGCCATCCTCCGCTAGAGTCATCTCGGGTCATAACCACTGCTTTGACACGCACAATGTAGCTGTCACTGTGCAGGAAAGAGAAAGAGGGTTCGGTCAGACATCAAAACAGTCTTTGAATATAGAAAAGGCAAAATAAATTTTAAGTCCCTTTTTCCTAGTGACAAAATCAACTACAAAATCAGCCCCATGCTCTTTTGTTTCAATGTAGTTTTTAGTCAAGAAATAATTTTGCGTGGCGTTTGACAAACTTTGCTCCCCCATAAGTGAACAGTTGTCTTTTGAAACTCTAGTAGAACTCCGCACCAAGCAATGACTGGAAACAAAACTGTTAAGGGACTATGAAGAGTGGGAAATCCCCACTGTAGCACACAAATGCAGACTTGACTTTACTAAGCATTGAGCACCGTGACTGAGTAGCACACTTGCCATCACCACACCCTCTGAGCAAAGGTATTTGGGCGTGTGCTTCAACATAAGCACCCCTCATGTTTTTCTTCTTCCAAGAATTAATCATAAGAAAAATGTCACAAAAGCACACAGGTCAAACACTGCTGCAGTTTTCTTTTGAACTTGCTTCATTTCATGGCTGGGACGCTTAATTGCCAACTGCACTGCCTGCTAAGCAGGAAGCCAGCCATATATGGTTACTTCACTTTACCTTTTAAATAATTAACCAGGGAGGTGATCAGAGCACAATGCATCTTAGGACAACGGAGACTGACACAAAATCGATACGTAGAGAGTCACAGGGGATAGCGATTTCAATGATCAAGCTTCACAAGCCACTATTACAACCTTTTTTTATTCTTCAAAGTCACCTAAGAGGCTTTTGCTACAGAATATTTATCATTTTTTGCTACAATAAATTGTTCATGTTATTGGAAGAGCCCCAAGGCTTAAGTAGCAGAAATGCAGGGGAAATTTTCTAAAACAAAGGAGGATGCAAAGCCCTGTTAAGTCCTAATTTTATTTTATGCTGCTTGGTAAGGACAACACAGTTCAGACATCGAAGTCCCATAAACGTAACAGAGATGCATTGTGCACTTCATTGAGTCCACTGGCTAATTTCCACTCAGTCCCTCGGCTGGCTGTGGTAGCAATTAAGTCTTTTGTGATGTGCCTAATTAACACATAAAGCATAATGATGCTGGTCTTGCTATTTTAATTCCCATTTTCTCTTTAATGTGATTGGTTTTCAACCAGAGACAAGGAAGCAGTTTTGGTCAATAGGGAGTCCGCTGCAGTGCAAAAATACTGGAAGTTAACGTTCTACAGAGCATATAGCACTTACTGAATTTATAATACCCTACGTTGTATCTACATGTAAATGCAACTACTGAATAATAGGAAATGCTTATTTTTCAGCAAAAAAAAAAAATCAAAACCTAGATCCACAAACATGTAAAAGAGCCCATCTGCACAGTTTTAATGCTTTTCCTGCAAACAGCACAATGATTCACAGTGAGATCCAACTGTTGTGGGTGTACCGAGGCATGGGGAAAGGGAAAGAGGGGTCTGAGCTGGGGGGGACTGTAGGATCTAGTGGTGGATTGGAAGAATGGCCGACGGCTCTCATGAGTGAGTACACTCTTACTAAAATCACTTTTCAGAGCCAGTAGAAGCTGAGCGACTGTTACAGACAGGAGAGAAAAACTTTTTTTTTTATTTAGATAAATGTTTAAAGCAAAACAATTAAATAGAATTAGAAAGTACCCAAATCTCTATTTTACAAAAAAAGGTAAAACCTTTGTCTAGTATTAATGCAGAAATACTGAAAACGGAGATACCCTTATCTTGAGTTCGCCATTGAGTTCAGTTGTAAAAAAAGATCGGTTTCTTCCCTTTCGTTACTTGTAAATAGTCCATTTGAGACTTTTCCAATTTGTGCATCTCTGATTTGAGCAGTATGACAGAAAACGGTCTGAATGTTCTTTCCTCAGTTACAAAGTGGAACAAAGGCTTTAGAATGTTTGAGGCTTTAGTGTGGTTGTATGTTACAGGTTATAATTTTGTTTGATTTGATTTTGCTTTAGTATAGGATTAGAAGACCTCTCTGGGGGGCCTGGTTGAAGCAGGGAATTTAGTCATTGGCGTGGGTATCTGGGTTCATCTCACATTTGTAAATAAAAAAAGGCCCTACATATTAAAATTGTGACGCTTGCCTCTAACCGCATCAAAGTATGCAGATCTCCACGTTGCCTCAATTTGCAAAACAGGTTCTTTACAGGCAAGTCTATGTCTGTCTGAGCCAAGTGCAGCTCTCCTGACATCTCTTCAAGATTGTTTTCCACACTGCAAGCACAGACTCTTAGTGGGACATGAAGGAAAGCCTTTAAGTGGTGGCAAACCAAAAAAAAAACAGAAAGGTGAACATGCATATACAGCTGTAAGTGCATTTAAGATGAACAAATTGGGAGGTCTGAAAGTCATTTATCGAAGCAGTCTTCTTTAAATCGTAATTGAGTCATTTCTTACCATCTGTGACATGAAACCAAAAATTTGTTTTCTTCAATTTTATAAACTCACCCCCTCACATTCTGCTTTCTTTAGCAGCACACTGCCAGCAGATAAAAATGACAAGAACAGTAAAGCCGCCTCTGAAGGCACCAATTCAATTTCATGACGGATACTGTTAAAAATCTATAAGACCATAAAAACGAAATGCCACATTCTTAGACCTATGATAACTTAAACAATCAAAGGACACGCATAAAGCTGCAGAAGACGGCATCCTTCACTGTACTTTTAAACACCTGAGCTTGTTTAACGATCGTCTGTTTAGAGGTATACTTTGTCGAGGATAATTAGGATGACGTGTCTGTGGTATTGCAGCTTTTACAGTTGAAATCCAACCACATTCAGGTCAAATACATCCTCTGGCTTTTTTGCATTCTCTTTCTTCCAGGTAACCAAGACAAAGCCGGTCAGTATGGAAAACTAATAGTTACATTATTTTTATTCTTTGGTGTCCATACCTAAACATGTCAATACATTGACATTTCATTGCACAGGAAAAGAAGTAGAACATGTTTTGGTGTTCAGAAAACCCACATGCAAACGGAATGACTGTTTTATGTGGTTTATTAATTTAGGGGGCATTGTGTGCAATGATGGGGTAGACTGTTTGATCACATTAAGTACATCAATAGGCAATCCCAATTAGCCATTGTGACCCATAGCTGAAGAAAAACTGTTACTGTCTGGAAACTGAAAGCTTTATGATCTCCATGTTAGAAATATTGGGTCTTTGGGAAGGACAAAAAAAAACAGGAGCATTTCCACTGGAAGAGGTTTCCTAATTCCTGAAAAGACTATACCACACATTCACGGCTTACAGCAGTCAGTAGGTATTAATTCTAAAAAATATAAAGTCACTATGGTATAATTTTATATTGTGACAGAGTAATCCGAGACAAACTGCAGCATAACCAATTGTACTTACTAAAAAGGAAAAATATTTTGTGTGGTCATTTCACTACTGTTACAAGACACCCATTTCAAACAATTCATTAATCCATAATTGGGATGCCTCATCCTGGTGAGGGCTGTGAGGAAAAAGCCTGTCCTACATGTGATTAATCAAACCCCTGGACCAGAAGAGACTCCAAGTTCTTTACTAGCCCATGCAGAAGGGGACAATTTAGAATAGCCAGCATAACTGTGTGCAGAGACAGAAAACTGCAGCACCTGGCAAAAAAAAAACCCATGAACAAGGGAAGACTGTGCAAACTCTGCACAGGCCAAGCCTCAGGCTGGAATTGAACCCAGGATCCCGCAGTTGTGAGGCAAGAGCACTATTCCAAAAACTATCACAGAATAATCGTAGGCAGACCTACAAAAACTCCTGCTTACCATCTCGCTATCAATATCCACATATAACTTCAGCTGTTAGGCAACTCTTCCTTGCACTATTCAGCCGAAGCAAGTTTAAACAAACACCAGTGGCATGCTTTGCTATGTGCTGGCAGCAGGTAGTTCAATGAAACCTGGGATTACAGCGTTTGTGCCAAAGGGCTCGATTGAGAAATTGCTCAACAAATTCTACAAGTTAGAAAACATTGGGTTAACCTTTTTCTGGCACTTTATTACAGGCATAACACTTAGAAGAATTATTTGAACTGGGTTCTGACACAAGCATTTGCATACATTTAGCAAAGGCAAATTAACGTCATGCTTATTCATTCATTTCAGGGAAAATAATCCACTGAATGACTTAATTCCCCTTTGAGTTCATACTTAGGAGTCCATCAAGATACCTACAAATGAAGAAGCCCGTGACATATCTTAACTGCCTGATAAGGAAATCATACGTTTACCAAACGATAAGAGCAAGAAAATGTTGAAAATGTCAAGAAGGTGTTTTTAGGAAACAGCTTGATATGGTTTCTGAGTATAGACTCGGTATTGCAGATAATGAAGAATGCCTAAATGATCTATTAAGGTTGTCTAACAAATCCTACTACCCTATACAGTAGACTCATTCACCACCTCGTACTGTCTTATCAGTGATTTTAGCACTAAAGTAACACCACGTGGACAGAGGGTCCCGCATAGCAGCTCCAGACAAGGGGTACATCTCAAGGTGTCTGATAAAGGCAGGACAGTTTTATTTTAGATTTCCCGTCTTTCCTCCCTTTAGGTATTTAAAATACCTATAACTAGTTCACATGGGAGAATCCTGATAAATGTAAGTACATGATTGATTAAATTTCCCTTTTCTTCCTGACATTTTTGTATCAGAAAAGGGATATCTGGAAAACAAATTAATATCCTTTTTCAAGCTTATCAAGTCCAAAAGCTGATCAGGACTTAACTTTGATGTGTTATTTTTCAGAACTCCTGAAAATATGTAATTGCTCCTTTAGGGTAGAAAGCACTTGTGGAGATGACACTGCTGCTGCATGAATTTAATATTATTAATAATAAACACATAGATAGTTTTAATAGACTATTTGAATATAAAAGAATGTCTTAACTGCACTCAAAACATCTGATTCTGAGAAAAGAGAGGTATTCTCATTTTCAGCGACTGGTACAGCAAGCAATGGAAATTGAAAAATTAATT